TCACACCAGTAAGGACAGCCACCATCCAAAAGACAAACAACAACAAATGTCGGTGAGGTTGTGGAGAAAGGGGAACCCTCCTACACTGCTGGTGGGAATGTAAATTAGTTCAACCACTGTGGAAAGCAGTATGGAGGTTCCTCAAAAAGTTCAAAATAGAAATACCATTTGACTCAGGAATTCCACTTCTAGGAATTTACCCTAAGAATGCAGCAGCCCAGTTTGAAAAAGACAGATGCACCCCAATGTTTATCACAGCACTATTTACAATAGCCAAGAAATGGAAGCAACCTAAGTGTCCATCAGGAGAGGAATGGATAAAGAAGAGGTGGTACATATACACAGTGGAATATTATTCAGCCATAAGAAGAAAACAAATCCTACCATTTGCAATAACATGGATGGAGCTAGAGGATATTATGCTCAGTGAAATAAGCCAGGCAGAGAAAGACAAGTATCAAATGATTTCACTCATCTGTGGAGTATAAGAACAAAGAAAAACTGAAGGAACAAAACAGCAGCAGAATCAAAGAACCCAAGAATGGACTTACAGTTACCAAAGGGAAAGGGACTGGGGAGGATGGGTGGGAAGGGAGGGATAAGGGGTGGGGGGAGAAAAAGGCCATTACGATTGGCATGTATAATGTGGCGGGGGGTATGGGGAGGGCTGTGCAACACAGAGAAGACAAGTAGTGACTCTACAGCATCTTAGTACACTGATGGACAGTGACTGTAGTGGGGTTTGTCGGGGGGACTTGGTGAACGGGGGAGCCTAGTAAACATAATGTTCTTCATGTAATTGTAGATTAATGATACCAAAAAAAAATTAACCTCAATAAATGACAGATCCGACCTTCAGTAACCGTAGGGGGGTTTCCTGTCCTCAGTCGCCTCCTGTGCACGAGCTGCCCTGGGGCAGGGGGAGGGCGGCTGGCAGGTCTGTCTCCTGGCCTCCAATGAGGAGGGCTTAGATTCAGTCTCTGCCCTGGCTGCGGGGACAGGAAGGCTGCAGGGAGAAGGGTGGGTCACATGGCCCCGACCACACGTAGGGGGAGGTGCATGGGAGAGGCCAGCTTGGGCAGAGAGCTGCCCACACCTAGTAAAGCCCCCATGCCCGCCCATGAATGCAGGGTGTGCCAATTCCTTCCCACAGGGATGGCGAGCCAGCTGGTGCAGGGGGGTCACTGTCGCAAGGCACCCCAGAGCACAAGGGGGAGCCCTGGAGCCAGAGGCCACACCGCCACGGTGGTGATGTGGCTTTCAGGATGGTGTGAGTATCGAGGTGCCCCCCCATCTTCAGCCAGAGCCCCACGGCCAGCCTCCTCCCTGGGCCACCCACCTCTCCCACCAGGGGTCCGCACAGTAGCTGCATGACCGGGGGTCCCGGGAAGACGGAGCTCAGGGCCTCTGACCGCCCGCTGGGAGGGAGACCTGGGGACTGTTGTTGGGGGAGGTTCCGTCTGAGAGTCCCAGCCCCTGTGGGTCGTGCCCGGGGCCGACCCCCACCCTGCCCCAGTCACCTCGGGGGCGAGGGTGCTGGAGCAAGCGTGGGCACCCAGCTGGCGCTCGTACGGCCCCACCCCGGAGGCGAGGCCTCGTGCGGCCCCCACCTCGTGACTCTACCATCGTCCACTGCTGCCCTGGGCCAACAACACTCTTTCCAAGGCTGGAGCACCAAGGGGCAGCGCCATCCGGTACAGCCGGGCCTGGGGTGGAGGCGGCGGCGGGGAGGTCCTGTCCTAAAACACTGAGTCTTGCTTGGCAGGCCTGCCACTCGCTGATCAGTAAACCTTGTCCCCTGCACCCCCAGGAGCACTGCGGGGCTCACGTCTCCCGCCTCCGCACTGGGAAACGGGGCTGCGCCGCCCTGGGCCCAGGTCCGGCCGCCAAGCCCACTGCTCGGGGCGGCGGGGGGTGGGGGGCGTCCCTAAGGTCTCAGGGCTTCGCTCCTCCTCCCGCAGTCTCGCCTCCCTCCCAAGAGGGCAGCCGCAGACGTGAGTCCTTCTACAAGCAGCTCATCCCAGCACTGAGCAGAGCCCTAGCCCTCACGGCAAGTGCTTTCCTCGGGTCTCTCCAGTGCCGGGGGCAGAATGCAAGGGACACCTCGTGTAAGCCGACCCAGGCTCCCCCGGGGCCCCTCAGCGGGCACCCCTCAACCCTCAGCAGGCGCCCCTCAGCCCTCAGCAGGTGCCCCTCACCGAAGCGGGCGCCCCTCATCCCTCAGCAGGCATGCCTCGCCCCTCAGAGAGTACCCTGCACCCGTCAGAGGGCACCCCTCACCCCTCAGCGCGTGCCCCTCAGCCCTCAGCAGGCGCCCCTCACTGCTCAGCGAGTACCCTGCACCCATCAGAGAGCACCCCTCACCCCTCAGCGGGCACCCCACACCCTTCACCCCTCAGTGAGCACCCCTCAGCCCTCAGCAGGTGCCCCTCACCCAAGCGGGCACCCCTCAGCCCCCAGAGGGCACCCCTCACTCCTCAGTAGGCGCCCCTCAGCCCTCACCAGCCTCTCTCACCCCTCAGCAGGCGCCCCTCAGCCCTTACCAGCCCCTCTCAGCCCCCATTGAGCACCCCTCACCCCTCAGCAGGCGCCCCTCAGCCCCCAGCGGGCACTCCTCGCCCACTGCCAGGTCCCCGCCTGCGGCCCTGGGGAGGGCTCCCCGTGGGAAACGGACGGTCCAGTCAGGCTTCCGGGGCCCAGAGGACCCTCTGACAAGGCTGCCATCCTTCCCGGTCCCCAGAGCTCCCGGGAGGGCACCAGCCAAGCCCGGAGCCAGGCCAAGGGCAACAGCGCTGCAGACTCACTCAGCACCGTCCCAGGTGCCCTCCTCGCCGGTGCCAGGCCTGGCCGACGGAGTCGGCTGTGGAGCCCATCTCCCCGCTGCGTATCAGTTTCCTGGGGCTCCCGCCGGCCGGAGCCCACCGGCAGGAAGCCACCTCCCCAGGGGAGCTGCTCCAGGGCAGCCGGGGGCCCGGGGCCTCCAGCTGGCCAGTGACGGGCTCGGAGTCAGGGGCACCGCCAAGGATGCTCCAGCCAGGAGGTGACCACTAGATAGACATCGTCTGCTTCTGCCCGACAGGGTGGACAGGCAGGCAGTCCTGACCATCGCCCGCATAGGGATCATCTGGTTGAAGGAGAAACCACGGGAGAAGAGAATAGCCGGGACAAGACCTGGGTGCTGGAGAGCTGCCGCGCGGCCTCACCTGGAGGCCACCTGACCTAGACGTTTCATCTGCAAGAGGCCATAACCCACCTTTCTCTGGAAAGCCTTCTGCATCGGTGCTTCCATTCCTTGGGGCCCAAGCTCCCCGCAGCGCTGGCGCCATCCCTGTTTCACAGGTGGGCAGCAGGCTCAGAGAGACTGGGTGGCCTGCCCTGCAAGGGAGGGCCTGTGCCTCTAACCCCAACACCCTGATTCCCACGGTCTTTGTGGGGTGCACCCTCTGGACAGTCCCTGGGTTAAGGAGCCCTCAGAAGTCCTTCCTGTCGATTTCTTCCCATCAAAATCACTTTGGTGTCTGGGGTCTTAAAAAGTGAAAATCCACACTCCCTGGGATGGTGGGAAGGACACTTCCCCACTCAACAGTGGGTCACTCTCCGGAGTCCCAGGACCACCCTGGGGGCCACAACTCCCCTCCGTGCCCTGCACGCCCCCTCCTTGCCTGTGGGACCACCCTGGGGGCCATGGTTCCCCTCCGTGCCTTGCACGCCCCCTCTTGCCTGACCATAATTTCCCAGGCGCTCAGACCTGGAAAGGTGCTGCAGCTGCGCCCAGGCCAAAGCACGTCTGCTCTGTGACACACTCTGTCTTCCTCAAGTGGCCCGGACCTCCAGCTCTGCCGCAGCCCTGCGCCCCTGCTGCCCGCGGTCGCCCCGTCCCCTCCCGGGTCCTCACTCGGGGAAGCCCCCCACCCTGGCCCACTCCCAGGGTTCTGCTGTGCACGGGGACTGCTCCCCAGAGCGGCCGCCACTTTCCTCCCGACGGACAGGCGGGGAGGGAGGCGCCTCGCTCCCTTGGGCGTCCGGGAGGGAACGTGCCCCGCGCTTCACCCGAAGCAGCACGGGCCGTGCGTCTCAGTGACTCACCGCTCTGAAGGCGGCCCGGCCGTCCACCCTGAGACCAGCAGCATTTCCTGAGCTGTTTCCAGGGACCCCGGGGCACCAGCCCAGAAGACACGTGCCCCGGGAACGATTTCCAATTCCCCTTTGTGTGCAGACAAGAGGCACAAAATCAGCCAAAAAAAGAACCGACTAGAGAAGCAAGGCTGTGGTCGGTGCGGAAACGGACCTCCCGCCCTGGTCTGCGGCGCCATCTGGCGGGAGCTTGGCGCAGCGCAGCCCAAGCCAGGGCGTGCCGAGTGGGCACAGGTGACTCCACTTCCACCGGTGGCTCCGCCTCCACGGGACCCTCCCCTGCACTGGGAACCACAGCCTGAGATCCTGAGCCGGGAAGGCCTGGGGCCGCAGGCGCTCTCTGAACGTGGGAACTTCCAGGGACCCAGAATCTCAGCTCACCGAGCCCCACTAGCTTGGGAGAGCTCCCGGGGGTCTCTCCTCTCCCAGGGCCCCTGAGTTGCAAGGTCCTCAAAGGCCCTCCTTCCCGTTCCTCACCAGTGAACCAACCAGGTCTTCTCTGGAGTAACAGGAAGGGCCTGAACCAGGAGGGAGAACGTTGAATTTCCATTCTGAGGTGCTCGGACCAGTAGCTTAAATTTTTGGCCTCAGTTTGGGTATCTGTGAAATGGATTTGCCGCTGCTAACTCAGGATTGTTGCAAGATTTAGATGAGCATGGGGAGAATGTGGGTGTCCTGTTCAGTGCTCTCCCCACCCCCACCCCGCACACAGCTGCTGAACGGGAGCTTGCACCACAGCAGCCCTCTGGGGCCTCCGTTCCAGCGCCTCCAAGTCCCAGCTGTCCCACTCTGAGGAGCCGCGTGTCATCTGCACTTCCTCAGCTGTGAAGTGAGACTTCCCAAATGTGGGAGGCTTGTGGGCCTGTCATGGGGCTCACAACTTGGGCATACTGAACATGTACTCTTTTTTAAGAAAGGCAAGTGACAGGTTCTGAGCCAATATCAGAACAAATGGACGACGCTCAAGAAGAGCCAGAGACTCCTTCCTGGCCTCCCCAGCACCCAGCACAGCGCCCAGCCCCGTGGACGCCAGGTGAGCCCATGACGGCAACTGAGCCCAACAGAGCAGTCAGCACGTCGTGTTTCAAAGTCAAGCGCAATTTATTCTACTTATTCAAAATCAGTTAGCCACACATATTACATATGATGATCTTTGCTGACTCAGAGACTATACATCAAGATAGTTTCATTTCCCAAATGTTCTGTATTAATGGATGAGTGGCAGTTAATTATATTCAACAAAATTAATCTCACAAATTAAAAACTAAGACCACATTATAGTTCTATCTAAGCCTATTAGGAAAAAGCACTATTCTCTCAGGTGTTAGTTATCAAATATAATTGAATTTGTTTTAAATGAAGTAAAAGGCATTATCTGTTAGCACAGTGTAATGGAGAAAATTTTAAATTAAAATATTTAGATTCTAGATCCGTTTCCCCATTAATTCATTTTGTGACCTTACATAAATGACTCACCCATCCCTTTTCTGGTTTCCCATGTGTAATGGGTAATCAATTATCATCCCTGTGATAAGATTATATTTTTAAATGGCTGTGAAAATATTTGGAAAAATTTAACAGTGATGTGTGTGTATAATGTTATCTCTACTTACTATAAAAAATTTTGTATTAATAGTGTCTTTTAAATCACTGTTGTGTAGATAAAAACTATCCTGGCAATGCAGGAAAAAGTTAGAGAGCATATACATACACTAAAAATAACATTAGCAGTGTTTACGACTGACCCATTGTTAAAGGAACTTGAAGTGCATTTTTCAAATATCTTTGAAAATGTGAAATATGTATTTGACAAAGAGTGTCAGATGAATGGACAAATGAATGGTAAGATGGATGGATGGATGAATGGGTGGATGGGTGGATGGATGGGTGATGGATGGGTGGGTGGGTGGATGGATGGATGAGTGGATGGATGGGTGGGTGGATGGGTGGATGGGTGGATGGGTGGGTGGGTGGATGGGTGGATGGATGGGTGGGTGGCAGGCACTAGATGTCAACAGCAAGCAAACCAGGAAGGGCCACTTGAGCAGTTAGGATAGTAAAGGGTCTGGGAGCTCTGGGGTTGTAGAGGTGATCTGGGTCATGGCAGAGCTGCATTCAGGCTTGGTCTGGAGCCCTGGACATCCCCGGTACCCTGCCACTTCTCTGCCAGCTCCTCTCACCCGCCTGGTTGGTATTGCTCATCTAGGACCTACACAGGTGATGGGCCTCCTGGGGTCAGTCAAGGCTGTGGTTTTCTCTCTGGGACTCACCCAAGCTCTAGATGTGGAACCGAGTAGGCTTCTGGCACTGCTGGATGCTTGATTAACAGCTGCCTGCATGGAGAAGGTCAACCCAGGTCAGTTTGGAAGTGGGGAAGAAATCCTGGGAGTGTGGAGGGTTACCGCCAGCCCTGAGGACAGGACTTCTTGCTTTCTGGGTGGTGACAGTTTGTCCCCAAATAAAAGAGCAGTGACTTCCAGAGGGCACAGAGGAATGGGAGCCACAGTGGCTGCGACCCAGTTCCTGGTAAGTGACGCTCCTACACATCAGGGCAAGTGTGCCTGGCACAGAGCCTTGAGTTAGTCACACCATCAGGACCTCAGGACCTTTGCACTGTCTGTGGAAAGCCCTCGGAACATGGGGCTCATCCAGGAGTGAGGCTGCACCAATGCTGACTGGTGGGGGATTGTTTGTTTGATGTTTTCAAAGAGCAGATTTTTGCAGGAACTTAAGAGCTAGTGGAGATGTTTTTCACTTTGGAAACAGAAGCCCCAAGAGAAATAAAAGAAGATGAGAGGCCACTTTTCCCTCCAGTATTTTAATTCCAAGGAAGAAGAACGTGCAGCAGGATCTTGGCACCAACGCACCAGATCTTAGAAATTCAGCAGAACAAGCTCTGGCCTGCTTGTTGGGATTCACACTTGGAACATGAAGTAAAATTCACTGAAGTTCCCTTGTAACTCTATCTGGGGTGTGCTGGCTCTGGCCTAGCCCTCCTGGGTGCCAACGGCTAAGACCTGGGGTGATGCACTGTGAGCTGTCAGGCACCCCCAGAGCAGAGGGGCACTGAGACAGAGGGAAGGCATGGCCAGGGGAGCCTCTGCTGAGCCAGCTCCTTGAGCGGGCAGCGCCTTCTCGGAGGAAGATAAAGTCACCCGGGAAGGGACAGCACCTGGCAGAGATGTTGTACTGTAATTTGGTCTCTGCTGAGTGACCCAGGGTGATCCACTTGAGCTCTCTGGGCCCGATTCCCTCATTTCAAGGAGGAGCCAGTATCTACTACACTTGGCTGAGTTGTTTCAAAGATCTGTTATCTCAGGAGAATAAAGGCTGAACTGGGGAAGGTAGCCTTGGCTGGGGGCGCTGCTGGCCCCAGCGAGGAGACAGGGAGCAGAAGCCAGCCGCCACGGGGCATGGCCATTCAACAGTATCCCCTGATGGGCGACAGGATGGAGCAGGTCAGTAAGGGGAAGGGTCTTCATGACTCAAACCTCGTGGGCCCCAAGCCAGGGACCACATGGCACCACGCTGAGGAACTTCTTTTTGTTCAATTAGAGTGGAAAGTTGAACTGAAAGCTCCTGCTGGTCACCCTATTTGGGACCCTCAGGGGTGGCAGAGGACCCTGGCTAGCTAGAGCAGGACCTGCCTCTCCCGGGGGGGCTCAGAGGTCTTTCCTCCCAACCACAGCAGTGTTTCCTCCACTGTTGGGTGCCCGGTGCCCCCAAGAGAATTGTGGATCATCAGGGGGTTGCTAAGATACAAATTCTCCAGGCCTCCACTGCATAGAGAAACCAAGGGGCATTGTTCTAAACACCTGTTGGTCACGTGCCCACATATAAGGAAGCCCCGCCCATCACGTGCGTGCCTGTGTGAGCAGGCGTGAGCAGGCCTGCGTGGGGCAGGACTGAGGCCTTGGGAGGGAGTGTGTGTGAGGACCGTGCCCCCTCGGCATGGCCCTGGGCACGTCAGCCCAGGAGCTGGATGCCTCCCCATCCGAGGTGGGTTTCTCTCACATCATGGCTTTGTGAGGACAGGGAGAGAACAAGAGAAAAATAAACCTCTGTCACCTCTGAGGAAATACTAAATGGAAACACTGAAATTACCTCAGTTGCACCTCCTAGGCACTAATGCCTGTCAGGTGAGGGAACTCTGTAGCAGGTGAGAGGGGCCAGAGAAAGACCACACAGGTAAAGGAGCACAGGTGAGGGGTCAGGTGAGGGGGCGCAAGTGAGAGGGCACAGGTGAAGGGCACAGGTGAGAGGTCAGGTGAGGGTGTAGGTGAGAGGGCACGGGTGAAGGGATGCAAGTGAGGGGGTGCAGGTGAGAGGGCACAGGTGAGAGGTCAGGTGAAGGGTGCAGGTGAGAGGGCACAGGTGAAGGGGTACAAGTGAGGGGGTGCAGGTGAGGGCACGGGTTGAAGGGGCACAGGTGAACGGATGCAGGTGAGGGGCACAGGTGAGGGATAAAGGTAAGGGGAGCAGATGAGGTGTCCAGGACACCCAGGTGCAGCCCTGGACCCCAGAGCCAACCTCAGGCTGCTGTCCCCATCCTAATCATGAGGCACCTCTGACCACGTTTGGAGGCAACAATCACGGACAGCTGCCACACATGGCCTGTGATCTTTTTCTTCTTTTTAAAAATCTCAGAACCTTACAAAAATAACAGTGTTGGCATCTCTCTAAAGGTCTGAACTGACAACAGTGCACTCTGATGTACATCCTTCCTCCCTGGTGGACCACGTCTGGGCCACATGCTCATTTGACAGGCTCAGGAAAGCATGTTCTTGGTCAAAGGCTTGAATGTTTAAAGTCGCATAAGCTGGTTAGAGCACTGCAGTGATGCTGGGTGCCCATTACACCATCCAGGATGCGTGGGATGGTGGCTGGTGAGGGCCACGTCACAGGGCACAGGACAGAATTATTAGGAATTAGCACATAGGGAGGCCCTATGTGCCTGCTGTCATCTGATTCACCTCCACGCGATTGGTACTGATGTCACTCACCCACTTACAAATGAGGAGACCAACACAAGTGGGGGGCAGAGCTGGGAGCTGAGGGGCGCCTGGGGCCTGCTGTCACACCTGCTGTGCTGGGCCCATCCCGTGGGGCCAGTGGCTGTGAGTGGGTAGAGGCTGATGGCTGACCCATCTGTCACCCGTTTCCCCTCCCACCATTCCTGTCCTTCTCAGGCAGGGAGGGTGCATCTCCACGGAGGGGCACAGAATGCTGACACCCACAAATCCACCCTTCACCAAAGCCATGGGGCTGTACCCTGCAGGCTCCGTGGATGGTGGAGGCTCCTCACCCACCTTTCTGGCCAGCCAGGCCTCCTACTCGTGGAACACCTGGTAGCTGAAGTTGTTGGACTGGGTATTGAAGCTGTACTTCCCGGCCATTCTCCGGTAACGTGTGACGAACAGGGCAGCTGTGCCCGCCACCAAGGCTGAGACGGCCACTGCGACGAGAACGAGCTGACCAGCTCCCAGGCCCAACTCCGTGCCTGGAGGCTCTCCTGCGGGGACGAGACAGGCACAGGTGGGAGGCCTGCCCAGACCAGGAGGATTGTGCCTCCAGGGCCTGCACCACCAGCGGCCCCAGCCCTGGGACGTCGCTGTGCGGGCAGAGCAGAGGCCTCTCCGTCGGGACAGGAGCACGCACAGTGGCCTCTCTGTTGGGACAGAGCTGTATGACAGCTGCCTCATGGCATTTCTGTCTGGACTTGATTGCTCTGAAGCACCACGGAGGGGAGGCTGCGCTTGTGTGCCCAGAGATTGTGGGTCTCACAAGGTGACAGGGCACGTGACCCACACCTAGGAGAGCACAGCAGTGGGGCTGATAATGGGGGGCAGGTGGGGGCAATAGGCCCTCTGGGTGGGAGGCAGACAGCTCAGCAGGGCTGGGCGCATGCCCTGCAGCCAAGCACTGCAGGCTGCCCCGACCCGGAGGGCCAAAAATCGCCCAGGAGAGCACAGACACAACAAAGTGGAAAACAGGGGCTCAAATAAATATTTGCTCACAAGTGTAGAGAGCAGCAGCATTCACAGCAGCCAAAAGGCAGAAACAACCCAAATGCCCATCAAAGGAAGAACGGAAGAACAACTGTGGTCTATCCATGTGATGGAACAGTTCTGCAATAAGAGGAATGACATTCTGACACATACTACATGCAGGTGAACTTCGAAAACATGCTGAGTGAAAGACAGGAGGGGCAAAGGACCACAGGGAGTACAAGCCTGTTTGGAGAACTATCCAGAATAGGGCAAACCAGAGAAGAAAGCAGCCGGGGCTGGGGCAGGGGCTGGGAGGGACACCCAGTGGGGCAGGGCTGCTTCAGGGCAGTAAAGATGCTTTGGAACCAGACACAGGAGGGGCTCGTACAGCACCAAATGTGCTCAGTGCCACTGAGTTATTTTTAAATGGTTGACTGCGTGTTATGTGAATTTCCCCTCAATTTTGCCACAGGAGAAAACTGTACTGCCTGAGAAGAAAGGCCACCAGCCAGACCTCTGTCCTCCTCTACCCCCCAGGGGTGAGGCCTGCCCGCCCCCACGAGGAAGGAGGGGCAGCGTGTTGCACAGTGTGAGTGTGACACTTTGATGGGCATTTCTATCATGTTCAACTCTAGTCTCCCTACATCAGGAAGTAGCCACCTGGGTACGAGGGTACTTGAGATCCCATTTCCTGGGCCACTGTGAAGTGGATGCCGCTCGGGCATGGCACAGGCCTGCATAGTCAGCAAAATGGCCCAACAGTGGCACTGGGGGTTCCCTCCAGGCTGCCTGGACAGTGAGTCCGCTGGAATGCAGGCAACCCCTCCACCAGAGGAACAGGGATATGGGGATGGTTGCTGGGGTAGCCGCAGCTTCCCAAGAGACACAAAGCCCCAGACTCTGGGGAGCCAGATGGCAACTTTGTGGCCAGCCCATAAACCCAGCCTCTGGGGGGCACCTAGTGGGCCCTTCCCCTTCTCCTGGCCCTCAGCTGGGGGACCATCTTGTCCAGCACAAGCAGGGCTACCAGGAAGAAAGAGGCCGGCACCACTGAGCTGGAGCCAGTCCCCAACTGCCCACTCGGCGGACAAGTGAACCCATCGGGCTGCCGCCTCTCCAGCAGGGTTTCTGTTGTCTGCAGCTGAATGCTCCGGATGGACCCACTGACTCAAGGCCACTCGGGGTGGGGTCCGCAAGTCATGCGTGTCCACTGGTTACTGTGGCCCAGGAATGGTTACTAGTCCACACAAGTTAGAAATGGAGAGTGAGTTTGCACTGCCTGTGCCATGGGTGGGGGCACCTACCTGTCCAGACCCCTCGTGTGGTGTGAGCTGGGTGTGGGTCATACACAGTTGGACCACCTGTCAGTCTGTGATTGTTCAGGAGGTTCAATAAAAAAATAACTGCTCCTCTACCACAAAAGCTCTGGCAGCCCATCCACAGGGCAGGGCGGTTGCAAATGGACACTCAACACAGCCCTGTGATGGAAAGTGACCAAGGGCCTTCTAGTACACCTGACATCCCAGAGCTGGGGCAAATGGCCCCTGCCAGGGCCTGAGTTCCAGCTCAGCTGATCTCTGGGGACCACAAGCTCCTTACTGAGAAGTGACCTCGGTAACTGTTCCAGATTCTTCCTGCTGGGTCATTAAAGCATCCCATTAACAGTAGCCTAATCTTCCTTGCACAAACTGTTACTCAGTGAGTGGGAAATAATGTTATCTAGCAAAGTAAATGGCCATGGAAGATTTCCAAAAATTAAATGCAAAAATCATAATGTTACACAATTTGTGAGTGACATACATTGAGGGAAGAGACCTAAAGAGATTCTTCCTTAAAATTGCCAATACACAGTACTATGGGTTGAATTGTGTAACCCCAAAAGATACACTGAAGCCCTAACCCCCAATATCACAGGATGTGACCTTATTTGGAAATAGGGTCACTCAATTGTAATTAGGTTAAGATGAAGTCACACAGAAGGAGAGGCTCTAACCAATCTGACTAGTGTCCTTATAAGAAGGTGGCTGTGTGAAGACACAGACACACAGGGGGAGGCCACGTGACCACAGAGGCAGAGATTGGAGGATGCAGCTGTGTGCCAGGGAGCACCAGCTCCCAGAACCCGGGGGGCCTGGAGAGGATCCTCCCTCACGGCCACAGAAGAACCAGTGTCCTGTGGTCAAGGTGACAGGCCTCCAGCGCTGGGAGAAAATATTTTCTGCTGTTTTTACATCCCCCAGTTTGTGGCACTGTTTCCTGTGGCACCAGCCCAGGAACACTAACACGTGGTATGAGGCCGGAGTGGCCTGAACCCTGGAAACCAAGCCAGTGCAGCTCCCAGAGGAGAGGGAGGGGAATGAGGGAATGCTCAGAGCTGCTCAGAGAGGGCTGGCTTGTCCAGGTACCATGCGCAAGCTTGGACGTCCCCTGAAACCTTCTTCCCTAAAGTGAGGATGGTGGCGGGGGCAGGGGCCAGAGACAAGATCCTGAAGGGACCTGACCGCCAGCCTCTCTCACCCCTATTGTCTCCAGCAGTACCACTGTTCACTACATTAAGACATATATTAACATGTAGTATTCAAAAAGACATATGCACCCCTATGTTTATCACAGTGCTATTTACAATAGCCAAGATATGGAAGCAACCCAAGTGTCCATCAGTAGATGAATGGATAAAGAAGATGTGGTACATATACACAATGGAATACTATTCAGCCATAAGAAGAAAACAAATCCTACCATTTGCAACAACATGGATGGAGCTAGAGGGTACTGTGCTCAGTGAAATAAGCCAGGCGGAGAGAGACAAATACCCAATGATTTCACTTATATGTGGAATATAACAACGAAGTGAAATTGCAAAACAGCAGCAGACTCACAGACTCCGACTAGCAATTACCAAAGGGGAGGGGTGGGGAGGGTGCGTGGGGAGGGAGGGAGAAGGAGATTAAGGGCATTATGATTAGCACACATAATATAGGGGGGTCACGGGGAAGGCAGTACAGCACCGAGAAGACAAGTAGTGACTCTATAGCAGCTTACTACCTTGATGGACAGTGACAGCAATGGGGTGTGTGGGGGAGACTTGATAATATGGAGGAATGTAATAACCACAATGTTGCTCATGTGAAACCTTCATAAGATTGTGTATCAATGATACCTTAATAAAGAGAAAAGTTAAACTCAGTCATTCTCCACCACAAAAAGTAAAGAATCACCCCCATATTTTGGCAATAAAGCAATTAAACTCTTTAAAAAAAGATGTAGCAAAATCCCCACCAACTGGGAGATTCTGTGTTTCTAAATCATTTTTCTGTATATTTGTATGGCACATTTGTGGAGCAAATGAAAGCTAATGATAAAATAAAATGAGAAAGAATGAAGAACAAAATAATTATATAACCCTTGTTTTTTAGCCCAACCTCATATGCTACTATTATATTTGGTGTTGTCTGCATTGGTTGCTAGCATAGTGCCCTGCTGGCTACAAATGATAACTAACATCCTTACAGCAATTTCTGTGGACAAGGTACTTCATGAAGTGGGAATTATTATTATTATTATTATTATTATTATTATTATTATTATTATTCCCATTTTATAGATGAGGGAAATGAGGTACAATGTAGCACACCCAGTTACAGAGAAAAAGCATAATGCCTGGCACCTAGTAGGTAGAAATAATGAATAAGTGGGTGGGTGGGTGAGTGGATGAGCTGACGGATGGAGGAATGATGGCGGATGGATGGGATTCAGAAGATGCAGTCTTTTTCCCAAGACCATAAAGTCAGAAGCACTAGAGCCTCTGTTCAAACCCAGGTCTCCAAACTCCAGGTCCAGGGTGCTTTCTCCATGCCAATGGTTTTGACCTTATCTATAATATGTACAAGTAAATAAAAGGCTCTATTTTTATAAACAAGAAGGCAATTCACATGTATTCTCTTTCATATTAAGGCCCCATGTTGACCAATTCTCCTCACAAGTAAAGAAATGAAGAAGGTAGGAAAGGTGTGTTGTTCTAGGGCCTGTGCCTGGGACCGCCTGGAACCACTTATAGACTCCAGCCTAGACAGAACCCGGAGTTAGTAGGTCTGGGGTGTGGCCTGGAACCTGTGCCTTTTTAAATTTCCCAAATGCTTTGGATGAGAAACCAGCCTTTGAGAATCACTGGCTGGAGGCCATGCCCCCTCCAGCTTCCTCAGCTTCCCTCCCAAGTCCTGATCAGCACCAGACCCCGGCTCGCGCCCTGCATCCAAAGGAAGGCCATCGCTGAGGAAGAAAAACAGCGCAAAAGAAAAATCAACCAGCATTCGGGTTAGTTGCAAGAAAGAGGGAAACCCGAAAGGGCAGGGACCAAAAAATGGAAGTTTCTTTCTTTCCAGTGTAAAAATTGGAGCTCAGAGCCTGGCCTGGCCCTGCAGCCTTGCTCCATGGTGTCTGCAGGCTGCTTCCAGCTCCCCGACGCCCTGGTCCTCATGCCCAACGTGATGGCTGGCTGCAACTCCCATGCCTGCATGCCAGGCAGTGACGGGAGATGACCAAGGACAGAGGGGCAGGCTGGGCACTGGATGTCTTAAGGAGGGCACCCCTTAAAAAGTTGTTATTGATGGTCCCATCAGCATCTCCTTGGCCATAACCTGCTCACATGGCCACTATTAGCTGCCAGGTTGGCTGGGAATTAGTTTTTATTTTGACAGCCACATGCCAGCTGAAAGACAGGGGTTCTATTCCTATAAAGGAGAGGAGAACAGCTATAAGGTAACAGCTGCCAGTTTCTGCCTTAATACCCAAAGCACACAATTATTTTTTCAAAACAAAAGATCTCAAAGAAAATAAAATATTTTCCTAGAAAATTGATAGCTTGGAATTTACATGGAATATGCTGCCTGCTGAAAGTTTTGTGCTAAGGAAGAGAGCAATGCCATTGTTTTTCGTCTTCTGACTTAGGCACATCTAGAATAAATCGCTTTTTCATGTGCATGCATACTGACATGCACATGCGCACACACACACACACCCAGAACCTCACCTGGCTGTAGCCTGAGTTCTTTCCTGTGACACCCACTCAATGTATTCACTCAGAGAAAGGAAACTTTACTGGCTTCAGGTTACATAGCTCAAAATATTGCTTTATCTGAACTTGATCATGGAGATAATAGATTTCACTTCCTAGGGCTGCTGAGAGGAGCAGATTGCATTCTGCAGGTAAAGACCCTAAGGCAGTGCTGGAAGGTCAGGCGGGGGAAGTGGGGTGGGTCTCAGTGATTGTCAGCTGCTCTTTCTACTGTTATGGGTCCTGGAGGAAAATCTTAAATTCCATGTTCCCAAGCATGGCTTCTTGGTTTACACACCAGTGAAGCAGAAGTGCCGGCATCGTTTAATTGTCTAAACCGTGTCACCAACTCACCTTCAGCCCGAACGAGGGGTCCCCAGGATGCCTGGTGTGTTGTGGGTTCCTCACCACGCCTCAGCGACTGAATATCATTGCAATTCTGTTGTTTTAAAGGAGAAACTTCGAATTAGGTGAGCAATGTTCACAGGAAGCTCACCATTAGGAAGCTCACTGTCAAGGCTGTTACTCTGGTGTTTCATCCTGCTGCAGACATCAAGTCACGGATGGACGAGCTCAGAGGGGAGGAAGGTCAGGGCTGGACTACCTGGACCCCGGGGAGGGCGGCGGGGCAGTAAGAGGCCGGAGGATGGGAGGAGCAGTGAGATGCAGCAGCCCCTGGGCTGTCCCCAGACCTACCCTGGCCCCTGTGCCCCTCGGAGGTGGCACCTCCGTCATGGCTCTCAGAGTCGCCTTCAAGTTCACAGCCCACTGCAGCCTCTAGCCCCTTTCACTACCTTTGCCTTCCAGAAAGACTCAGGATACAATGCAATCTGCTTACACCTGCTTTGGGTTGCATTGTGTTCCCAAAAGATGTTGCAGCCCTCACCCCCAGCACCTGTGGATGTGCCCTGATTTGGAGACAGGGTCTTGGCAGATGAAATTAAGATGATGTCACTAGGGCATATCCTATACCAGTATGACAATGTCCTTATAAAAAGGGACATCAGACACAGACGCACACATGCACAGAGGAAAGACCACATGAGACACAGAGAAAAGACAGCATCTACAAGCCAACGGGATAGACCTGGACTGGAGTCTCCTCCCAGCCCTCAGCGGGGCCTCCCTGCCTCAGGCTGCCACCTCCAGACTGAGAAAATACATTCCCGGTGCTGGAGCTGCCCAGCCCGTGCTGCGCTGTTGCAGCCGCCCCAGGGCCCCGGTACAGTACCCCTGCAAAGGAACTTGGAGGGAAATAGTGAGGCGGTATTGCAAAGAATCTGAGAACTGGCAGCTCCCTGCAGAGGTTATGTGGCTGTCGATTCTCCGCTGTTTCTTAGGGGCTGGTGGGCAGGGCAGGCTCATAGGCGCCCTCACTGGCACCGGGTCAGCATCCCTTTCATCCTGTTGTTGTAGAAGATCTACTGTTTGAGTATAAAGTGACATCAACAAAGTCGGTGCTGTTGGGTCTCCCCTGTGCACGTCCTGGTGATGCTCAGAGGCTGGTTGCCCAGGAAATAGCAGGACTTCTAGGAGCTCAGGGACAAACTTATCCCCAGAGGCGAGCTGGACAAACAGCACTGAACCAAGGCTGGCAGGGCCGGGAAACACCTGCCGGTGGCCTTGCGCGCTGGTCTGTGGTGTGAAGCGTAGCTCTCACACCCCAGCACTACAAAGCATGTTTCAAAGTCAAAGATCTAAGGAAATGAGAAAGTAAAATTATTCATGATCCCATGGTGAGGGGTGAACAGGGAGAGAAAAAAGCCCTTATTCAATTTCAGAGTAGCTGGATTCAGTAGAGTTCTGTCAATGTCACTAAAAGTATTAAATTAAAATATTACTTTTACACCTAAATGTATGTTAAATCACGTGGAAGAGAAGCACCACAGCCTCATGGCAAGGACATTCGGCTATCATGGCCCGTAGATGGCGTGGCCTCAGGACTTAAGTCACTACCCAGCTGCATGGGTCCCCCGCCCTTGGGCTGCCCCCTGTCCAAACCTCATTTCACATCTTTCAGGGGCCCAGTCTGCAGGCCCAGTGCCTCCTCCCAGAATCAGGCCCGGGTTCCCCAGGCCCTGGGCCTTTGACAGCAGAGCAGCTCTCCTCGGCAGCAAGGAGCTTGTGAGGCCAACGGAAGCAGGACTCGGAGACACCTACTATTTTGCATGTGGCCCCAGGCGACTCCATGCAGATGCGGAGTTTGCAGTGCAGGTAGACGATGGAGTTGTTGATGAAGGAAAAGATTTTCAGCTTGAACTGGGCCTTGTTGGAATTCCCATTCTCGATCACATTTGTGTGTGTATTGGGGATGGGGCAGCTGGGAAGAGAGGGAGGGCAACTCATTAGCTCTGTAGACAGGCCCTCCTGTCCTTGTCCCCCACGAGCCTCTCCCCAACACACCTACTGTGAACAGAGTGTCCCCACAGGCTCCCTGGGGCAAGGACGGTTGGCTCTCCAAATGCCAACAGGAGAGTCTCCTGGGGGTGTCTCTGAAACCCAAGGTCCATTGTCTGTGTGCATCCGGGATTTCAGAGGGCCCAAAGCAGGTCACACAGCAAAGGGATGGCAGTGCCTAGCACCCACCCAGGCCCCTACCTGTTGTTAATGAAGCCAAACATGACCGGGTCCCTGGCATCGCTGGACGGTGTGGCCCAGCACTCAGTCAGCACCACCTTGAGGTTACTTTTCTGCAACCTATGGAGCCCCACTTCTATCTTGACGTCATCGATGGCAGACACACTATAGTTCCGAGGTATAGGGGAGTCTCCAATAAATGCTTGCATTACAGTGACAAAATTTCCAGCGCCGTGGAGGTCCTCGATGATGGTGTAAACCCTGCAAGAGGGAGAGGTTTTCAGGGGGTTCACTCCTGTGACCCTCCCATTCCCATTTCCCCCCCACAAAGCAATGCCACAGAAGTGTGGAAATAAGGAAGCCCACCCAGTGAGGACAAGCAGAGAAAGCCCATTTATCACAAGCTGCTGCAGCAGGGGTCAGCCCGTCACTCGGGTTTGTGGAGTATCACAGACAGGCAGGGAGGGGCTCAGGCACGCCCTGATGGAGGCCTCATCGTGGGCACACTGGGCAGATGCACTGGAAGTAGGACATCCCATGTGATTGACTAGGGGAGCATAGGGGCTTACTCTGGTCGGAGGTGGGGACACAAATTAGGAAGCTGGCAGCTATTAATCAAGTCCTGGCCACTGTCTGTCTGCACCTCCAGTCTTGCAGAAGGGTCCTCAATGATGGAAGCCCAAAAGAAACCCCAAATCAAAGGCGCCTGAGAGGACGGCGAGCTGCAGAGAGATGGGAGCCCTGCCCACTCACCCCCACTCCGGGGTGTAACCGGACGACATCAAGAGGTTGTTCCGGAAGGCACAGCGGATGGGGCCCAGGATCTTCAGGTGGCGGATGATGCCCTCCGGGGACAGGTCGTTCCTCAGTGTGGTCCTCACCACCGTGTCTGTCGTGTTCTGAACACAAATGGGGCATGAGTGACTCTGGGGCCCCAGCACAGCTGCAGACCAAAACTCCAAGTGCGGGAAGGGTTCTATTTTAAGGCTTATTCCCACGTGTGAAAAACCTGACGATGTTTCCCTAAAGTAAATTGCCAAAGATCCTAATGTCCTGACTCTTGGTTTAGCCTGTTTCCTACACCTGTTTTTTTCATTGGAAGAGACCTGGGGACAGACTACCTCAGGCAAAACCCAAAATAACAGATCAGATTCCTCCCAGATAATCCCCAAGTACACTTCTAAAGATGAGAGCACAAGGCTCTCACCAAAGAAACCAAGATTAAAATAGACTATTTGAAGTCTGCCACTTTGCAACCTGGCCTCCTGTCCAAATTCTATAGTCTGGGGGGAATAACCAGCCAGAATCCAGAGGACAACCTGAGAAAATGGGTGTGATCCTGAAGGCTGCCCAGGAGCGGCACTACCCTGCCAAGGCTGGACCTGAGTGTACAGGGAACAGTGCTATGCCCGCTGGTTTCGTGACGGAGAAATTACTCCAACGACAACTGGAATTAAGTGCAGGCTGCTTGGAGGGTGAAAGTGTAGCCAAAAGAAGAGATTTTCAAGACAGCAGTGCACCCGCATCAAAGAAACCAAGCTTTCCAAAGTCGGAGAGGGTCCTGCAGTTTCTGCAGAGCCAGCCCCAGGGACAGAGGCCCTGAACGCGGGTGATTTCCCAGAGGGCTCCAGTGGGGAGCATTGTAGGAGATAAATATTTCTGTGAAAATGGCCATCAGCTACTGGAGCTGAATGGAGTCTTTTGTTTGACAAAATGCCTGAAGTTGTAACTATTTGTTTGAAGTGCTTTACAAACTTTGAGTTTGACTGTCAAGGTGGCCAACTTGCCGAGATCAACGTCCCTTTGCTGACACCTCCTGAACGGTCACAGAGCCACCAGGGACCCAGCTGGGAACCACCTCCGGTTGTGATGCACAGAGGGCACGGCACCACTTCTGTGAAAGTCACCAGCTCTCGCCGCTTAGAACTAGACAAGGCAAGTTTTGTGTGAAACAGATGCGCCAGAACCATCGAATGAGGAGGAAGCAAGGGTTGTGGTTGGGAGCGAGGCCAGTGACGCAGCGTCTGCGACAGGTGGTGAGAACACTTGGCCACACAAGGCAGGAACTCTGGCACTTCTTGGAGGGTGGGAGAGCAGGGCAGATTACGAGCTACAGGACCACGTTAGTGGTGATGAGGTTGCCGGCCCAGCGCTCTCTGAAAACAGAAATCCTGAGGCTAACAGCACTAAGGGGACCCATGCCTGTGACAGAAACACGGAATCTGGTGACCCAACAGGGAGGGACGTGAGTTTCAAGACAAAACAGTATGTGACGAAGGAAAGGACTGAGGGGGACCCCTGCCCTTCTGGAGGTGTGATGTGAACGCCGTTGAGGACAGGGACATTTTGATTCTCCTTCCCTCCAGCAGCATCCGCATCCCCTCTGCACGGGCTGCTTCGCAAGAAATGAGAGCGCGGTGTGTTCCCCTGGTGTGTACATCAGACAGACCTGGGCAAACACTGGGGGCGCTGGTTACATCAAGGAGTCTTTCCCAATTGGATATGATTGCTCCCTCTAGGTCTTGATATAATAGTGGAAATAGAACTATGGAAAACCATATTCGTTTTTAGAATTCACTTTCCTTAGTAGAGACTAGTGATGCATTCTCTCTGCAGAGCAAACTTGCAAAGATTCTTCATTGAGTTACCTAAAGTGGAAGCATTTAAACAGTTTTATATTTATACCCATCTTCTCTGTTTGCTTCTTAAAATAAGATGCTAGTATTCGTATCTCCGTATTTTGGAGTAATTATCTGTGTGTTTATAGGTCCTCTGGTTTTTGTGAGCTAAGAAGTGGACTCTCTCTCAAACACGCTGTTTTATAAGGCATGAAGCCAGATCTTCTAGGATGTATTTAGAACAGTGTATATTTTGTGCCTTAAATCATTTTGGAAAATGCCTTAGAAAGCCTGGACAGTCTCCTTCTATCTTCACAGGAATTGTCGGTGTTTTTGTAAAGATGATTCTGCACTCCAGAATCTCCTAGGGTATGGACTGATTTGTATCTCTCCACAGCATATTAGTACATCAAACTTGGAGGGGAAGCCTTAAATGTAACTTTTTTAAAAACCAGGAGGTCAATAAAATTTAAACTACTTCACAAAAAAGGTGGGGGGAGGCAGAACCTCCTACCTATACATAATCCATTGTATGTGGGGGACTTCTTATAAAGAAGTCTTGGGGGCTCTTGGTTTCTAACAAATGTAAAATAACCATCCAGGACTCCTGCAGATTCCGGGGCTTGGCTGACTCACAGCAGATGAACTTCCCTTTGATCTGAAAGCGCCCCAAACCCTCCTGATTTAGTTGCTAAACCAGATGTTAGTCTAGCTCAGAAAAACAAAGGGAGCGAGGTGACCTCTGCAGCCTCCATCTCTGGGCCCTGCACTCCTCTGCGGGGAGGGCTGACTCACCCTTGGAACCACCTAGAGGCACTGACCGGCCAATCTCTGTGGCCAGGACCTGTGTCTTCTTTTTAGCATCGTTCACTGAGGTCCTACAAGCCCCCAGCAGGGTCCCAACATGGACTCAGACCCACTGGTGGCTCTGCCAGCACCCCCCCTCCAGCCAGACACTGCCCACTGCTCCCAGCTGCTCACTCCCCCTCGGCACAGCCCATCGCTGGCTGAGGGTCTCAGGCGTCCTTAAGAGAAGGAAGCAAAACCCCGATGGTCACGTTTAAGTTGTGCTGGTTGGAGGGCCAGGCGGGAGCTGACAAAGGCTTTCTAGTCACTGGAAATGTCCCTGGTCACTCCTTCAACCTGGGGCCCCATCTCTGGGTCTGAGGACCCCTGAGGAAAGTGGAATCCCACTTGAGGGAGGCCAGTGGGGCCCCCACATGCCCTGTCCATGCCGACACCCACACTGACCTGGCAGTGCCCGGCCTGCACACCATATCCATGCTGGCCGCAGGCAGCCTGCCCCTCCAAGCCGTTCTCTGTGCCCTGTTCCTGTGTCCCGTCCATCCATAGCTGAGTCTCTTCCTCAGGAGCCTCCCATGCGTCCCTCCCCAGCCTCTGGGGCCCCTTCCCCCTGGGTGAGCTCCTTCTCAGGTCCCCGTCTGTGCCTCCTGGTTCTGACCCTGTCAGCCCGTGACCGCCCTCCCTGTGCCCGTGGCTCTTGGCGTCAACTGCAGACTCAGCCCGGCTGGAGCCTGGGACCCACCTGCCCCCACAGAGAGCATGCCCATACTCTACCCAGAGCATCTGAGGGCAAGGGGCCTTCGCCCACCTTGTGCCCCTGGAGGGCCCTAGAAGGGAAAGGTGATGGAGGCCACAGGGCTGGTCCTCGGAGGCAGGGTGACCCTGACCTTGACCCTGACCCCACTCAAACCTGCTGAAACTCCAGGTCCCTCTGGTTAGTGTGGATAATAATACCTGCCCCCAACCCCAGCCCTAGAGGGGGATCGTTAGGGGAGCAATGATGACCATGCCCAAGGAGCCCCCAGCCAGGAGGCCCACAGGGGCCTCCGGGGTGATCCCCTGCCCAGCCCTGTTCGAGGAAACAAGGGCCAGGAGGGCCCTCAAAAGGCCCTCAGGGACAGAAGGCAGGCTCCTGAGCCCCTGGGAACCACTGCCCTGAAGAGGGCACCACTGTCCCCAATGCCCTGGTGTCCAGGCCCCTGCGAGACCCTCCCCCAGCCCACCTCCAGCACCCGCCCCGCCCCTTCCATACACACCCTCCCACCAGGGCCCAGCAGCCCCGCCTCCCAGAACCACAAGAACACTCTTTCCTCACAACCTGCGAAAAAGCAGGATGCACAGCTGAGTCAGCCACACATGGGGGTGGGCGCTACAAACCAGTCATTCCACGTGGACCCAGAGGTCCCCAAGTAGGGCGATGCGCAGAGCCCTCCTGCACATGAGGTACAGCTGGGCCAGGGTGCTCCCACTCCGCTGGCTGGGCTTCCCTCTGTGCCCGGGGCAAAGACCCCTCCCTGGCCACACTAGGCAATAAGCAGTTACTCACAGGACCACGGTGCCTCTGGCCAGGGAGTTCTGGTAATGTCACCCACTTTCCCACCATGTGGATGCACACACCCCCACACACACACCCATACTCACACACCCTATACACACACACATGCACACAGACACACACGTGTGCACACCCACACATGCACACACGGACACTCATGCTAACACAAAGGCTTTTTCCTGCCCCTTTTCCTCTCCCACGGTGCAGGAAACATGTCCTGCCTGTACATCAAAATCAATGAAAGGGACTCTTTAAACCCTGAGGTAAGGCATCTGCCTTCTGAGGACTTGCTCTGCAGTCTGCACGAGGCAGGCAGGCCATGTCTCAGCTGCTCCCTGGGCCCTTCTCCATAGCCCCACTCATCACCTGCCTCCCTGGCACCTGCTGTCTCCTACCCCAGTGCTCTGCCTTCTCACCCAGCTCACCCATCTCCAGACCTACCCCAGGCCCTTTGCACCAGAATCCCTGCAGGACAGGGCCCAAAACTCCTGATTCTAGGGTACAGTCCAGTCCCCGCCCCCCAGAGAACTCAGCCCTATCCTGACCCTCTTTCCTGGGTCTCTGAGTCAGAGATCTCAGGGTTCAGTGTTCCCTGATCCCCCAGGGAAGATATGCACCCTCACCCCTGCACTCCTTGCACATCCTGGGACTTACACTTTGCACGACGGTTCCACACTCGGTCCACCCGGCCACCAGGAGCACATGCGTGCTGTTGCGGTAGCTCACGTTGCAGGATGGGTGGCCCAGGTACAGGGAGGACTCGGGGATGGATTCCTGCTGCAGGAAGCGTCTCTGGATGGCGATGGCTACCTTCTCAAGCTCACAGAGCACTCTGACCGCTCCAGTAAGGTTCAGTCGCTCAGGCAGGATCTGGGAGGCTGGGTGGGCACGTGGCACAGAAGCAGCCCTAGTTCCTGCTGGGGTGGGGGGCTGCTCAGGGCCAGGGGCCAGAGAGGACCCAGGGTCTTGGGTTGCATTGCCAGGAGAGCCACCTGCGAGGCACAAGGAGACAGAAGCAAAGGGTGGGTCTGCACTCAGGGCCTGTGAGGCTGGCTCCGAGGGGTCAGGGTGGGCACCACTCTGTGCCATGCAGCACCACACACCTGGGATTGCACATTCCAGCCCCAGCCATGTACACACACACATTGCACGTCTCTGCTGCCCAAGCAGCTTGGCTTGCCATTGGCTCCTGTGGGCAGGGAGACCAACAGGCCCTGTGCCCCCCAGCCTTCCCCAGGCTGACTCTAGGCATGCACCAAGCAGGTGGACAAGCCACCTAATCTCTAAGACAGGCTAATGATTTTTACTCTTAGGATCCTTCAGTCCCTGCTCCGGCTTCCTGCTTCCCCCGAAACACACCAGGTCTCATTCTAGAACAAGGAGGCTGTAAAGACATCCACGTTCCCCGAGGGCTCACTCCCAGTCTGCATGCGGCAGGCCCAGGACACATCTGAGCTGCTCCCTGGTCCCTCATCCACAACCCAGCTCCTTGCCCACCACCCTGGCACCTGCAGTCTCTCATCCCAAGGTGGGGCCCCCCTAATGCTCTGCCTCCTTACCCAGCTCCCCCATCTCCAAGATAGAGTCCAAACCCCTGATCATGGCATTCACAGCCTTCTCTCTGGCCTCATCAGCCTCTCTTGACAGCCTGCTTCCCTCTGCCCTCCTGCCATCTCCTGCAGGCACACACATCTCAGCCAGCCCAGACTGCAAGACTGGCCTGTGCTCGCCTCCATCAGTTGTGCCCTGGCACACAGCCATCACATCCAGGCCCCTGCAGCCCCTCCTGCCAGGTGCTGTCTTAGCTGTCCTTTAAGACCAGCTCCAAGACACCTCTTCCAGGAAGCCTTCCCTGACCTCACAGGACAACCATCTCCTCTGGGTCTCCTGCTTCTACCTCAAGCACAGCATATTCCATATTCCCTGGGACACTGTGTTTACTTGTATAAACATGTCTCCCTCCACTTGACTGCAGATCCCTGGATGGAAGGGGCCATCTCACGTTGAATCCACTAAGGCACAATTTAATGGAAAAGTACTGAGTGGAAAGAGGGGCCACGGAGAAATGTTTCCCCTGTGTCGCTTGTCAAGTGGGCCGTACATTTTGCAAGGTCACCTTTCAGCATCACAGAGCACACACCTGACTATGTGTGTACTTGCCCGTTACGGGAACTGGAGATATGAGGCGCCACCCAGACAGCTGGAAATGTATGTCTGGAAAAATGGGGGGGACGCACATGTACACACGCAGAGGCACATGCACACCCACAGACACACACACATTAGGAAACTTTCCCTGGATGTAAAAACATACTGACCTCATTTGGAGAAGCACATTGAGAATGAATGTCTTTAAGAGAACAGGTTATTCAACAGTGTTCCAGAAAAAGGACTGTGGGAATATTACCTTCACAGGGTCTTCCAGAATATTCCACAGGGAGGTCAGGGGTACCTCCCATGCAGCTGCAGGTGAATGACCCAAAGGTGTTGAGGCAGGATGCCCCTGGCTCACAGTCGTGCTCCTGGCCCTCACATTCATCGTAATCTGTGCAATATTTGGAAAACAAGACAGGAGGAAGTCACGGAGCTTGAGGGGTGCTGGTGAGAGGCACATCCGAGCACCCTGACACACATTCCTGTGAGGGAGCCTGCATCTCGGGAAGCAAAGCTGCAAACTATTGGATGACCACCAAGATGGCCCGTCCTAGAGAGTTCAGGAGCCTGGGCAGCACCCTGATTTTCTGCCAGGGACGGGGCTATGGGCAGCTGGTGTCAGGAGGTCTACAGGGGCTGTTCTGGAGGTAGGATTGCTGTTCCAGGGCCTGGCGGGGGGCACCGGGCAGGGCAGCATCCCATTGGTTCCCTGGGGCACCCAGCAGACGAGCAGACGCCCCACCCCAAAGGCCAAGGCACCCTGGCAATGGCCCTCAGCCCACTTGATGCCTTTCATCTCCATGTTTGTACTTAGCTTATTCACACAAAGGCAGGTTTACTGCAGGAAATGGATGAAAACCAGGACTGCCTAGCAAAGAACTAGACCCTCACCTACAGCCACACCCCCAGATGTAACAGTGCTCGCTCGGTGGGTTACATCCTTCCAGGCCTCTGACACTCAGACTACAGCACAGTCAAGGCCATGCTTTGTACACAAATACGAGCCCTGCTTCTTTTTTCTTTCCCTTGTGTTGGGAATATTTCTGATATCCCTGGAAAACTTCATTTTGCCTGATTGTGTGACCATCCTTGGCATAGATATGCCATAACTCACTTAATATCTTCCCTATTGCAGGACTATTAGGCAATTCCAATCTTTGGATTTTAAAGTAACTCTGATGATGAATACCACGTATATAACCTATGGCCAGAACAGAGATCTATTTCCTTGGGAAGAAGGCCTAGAAGTGATATCCCAAAATAAAGTAGATGAACAGTTTTAAAGCTCTTGATGACTATTGTCAAACTCATTTCCAGGAAGTGTGAGTAAATTCTATTCACACCGTCAAGGCACATACACCTGCTTCACTCACCAGGATTATCATTTTAAAAAAACATTGCTCTTAGCTGGGCAGAATGAGCAACTCGTTTTACTGGGAGTATCTTTGATTATCACATCTTTGCTAGTCCTTCCATTTCTTCTTCATGTATTATTTCTTCAGAACTTTTGTGCATTTATCCATCAGGTTTATAGTATTTTATTATCAGTGAGTGTGATCTCCACATTTTGGTCATAATTTTCATCAAATTATTCGCATTATTTTTTTGTTGTTTGCTCTATCAGGGTGCCTTTATTTTGTTTGACATAAACAGTTTACATGTTTATGGAATAGCCAAATATTCAAGACTTTTGCTCTGTGGGCTTGTCTTCCTTCTGCTTTTCAACTTGGAAAATGCTGCTCATTCCAAAACTCAGAAAAATATTATCTATATAGTCTTTGATTTCTGTTTTCACACATTTAACTACAAACCTTTTATCATTTATTTCAAGTATATATGTGCTCTGGACTGAATGTATCCCCCCATATTCTTCTGCTGAAGCCCTGACCCCCAGTGCAACCATACACGGAGGTGGGCCCTTTAAGAAGTCATTAAGGTTAAAAGAGGTCAGAAGGGTGGGGCCCTGACCCAGTAGGATTAGTGTCCTTCTAAGCAGAGACACCAGAGCTCTCCCCACTGCACACACACAGAGGGAAGGCTGTATGAGTACACGCCAGAAGGCAGCCAGCCGTCTGCACCTCAGGAAGTGGACCCTCACCAGATACTGGATCAGGCCAGTACCCTGATCCACACTCCCAGCTTCCAGAGCTGTGAGCAAATAAGTGTCTGTTGTTTAAGCCCTAGCCTGTGGCATGTGTCACAACAGCCGGAGCTGATATAACATGAGAAAAGAATCTCAAGTGCCCATCTCCCTGCTTTTCCTAGAATCTCCTTGGAAACTGTGGGAGGACACCTGGCTGCAGCAAGGGATGCACCTGCCCTCCAACCCCACTGGTACAGTGGCAGGGAAAGGCCAGGGCAGGATGTAGCCTGCATAAAGGGAGCAGCAGCTTTGGGGATCTTTGCAGGGTCACTGGGGAATGTCGGCCACCCTCAAGCCTTTAAAAAGTGCAGAGTAGCTGTAAGAGAGACACGAGGGTCCTGACTTTCACACTTTCATCCAATGCAGGGGAAGCCCTCAGAGGAGGCACATGGAGTGACATCTTTCAGAAACAAAGGCAGCAGCTGGACTCTCTCTGCCTTTCTTTCTGGAACTGGCCTGGCCTGCACATACCCTGTATGAAGGTGTCCTCTCTGACCACCTCCAGCAGAGAGGTGTTCTGAAAGGCACCGAGGAAGGCGGCAGACACCTCCCAGGTATTCACATCTGTGGTGATCAGCAGATCAAACGCCACCACGACACTGCCATTGGTGATGCTGGTCACTTTCACCTGGACCCTGCCTGTGTCCATGAGCTGAAGCATGGCAGCTGGCAGGGAATTTCGTACCTGCGGAGAAACAGCATGTGAAAAGACCTGCCCATTGAGGGGACACAGGTACTTGTCCTAAGGCAGCACCTCCTGGGATTATGGCCAGCAGCAGGGCTCACCTTGCAAAAGGGTCAGAGCTGCGGGTCATTTCAGGGCCCCATTCCTATCTGCCGTGTCCCCAAGCCCAGCATGTGCCTGTGGGTTCTGAGATCCTGAGGTGAGCCCTGTTCCCCCACAACAGGGCCTTTGGTCAATATGGAGCCAGGTGCAAAAGCCCTACCCTACCTGTAACCTGGTCGGGGTCACAGCAGTGTCTAGAGCCTGCTACTCTTAGCTCAGAGCCACGGAGTGTGGGGAGCTGCGGGAGTGCTCATAGGGAGGAGAACCACTTCTCTTGCTTTGATTGCTCTAGAACAATCCTTTTGTTTTTGATACTGAACATCTCCCTTCTCTTCTTCCTCCCTGCCTTCTGCAAACTGCTTCCCTGTGAGCATTCCTGCTGGGACAGGCAGTTCCTGCCTTGTTTTTTATTCTACCACTTGGGACAGAACCCTCTATCACACACTGTATTATTCCATTCTAGCCCATCATGGCCCAAATGCCCAGCAAGACGCACAATCTTAGAGCGAGCCTTCACTAGTCCATAGAACACGAGTCTTCTCTGGAAAAGCACACCGGCAGGACTTGCCTCCCAGAGAAAACTTCGTCCTCATCTGAACCTTATGAGGTGCCGTGGCTCAAGGCACAGGCTCACGTCCCAAGGCTGAGAGGCAGCCAACATGAGCAAATTTGCTGCCACCCGTCAGAGAGGACAGATGCCCTGAGACTCCGGGGCTGCCTGCAGGCACACGACCACCGCGGTTCTCACAGGAACCTATGTGCCCTCCCTCCCTCTCTCAGCCTCTCTGCTCTCAGGGACTTCCCAAGAGGGATCTTTCACAGTCTTGGATTAAAGTCACGTTTGCATTTCAAACTAGTCTCAAAGCAAAGTCCCAGGCCCCCTGCCAGGAAGTGCTGACAAAGGTGCAGCATTAACCCACAACCTCCAAAAATTCGTCTTTAAATCCTACATGTGACACAGGTTGCACGATTATTTGCTTTCCTGGAATTCTAGAGAAACAAGCCACTGTCACCAAAAATAGGCAAATGAGGAAATACTTTAAAGAGGACAGATTAATCCAGACAGTTTGGGTGGAAGCGGAGCTGCCTCATGTGACCACGAGAGCTAGTGGACTGACTCCAGTATTTGTTGCACAATATTATGCTTAACATTCATTGTTTAACCTAAAGGTGCTGATACACCTATGAGTCATCAAAAGCTCTGGAACCCACGTCCTGGGCCAGAGGCTGGGGGCCCAGGATAAATAAGGCAAGATCCCAGGTCCTTAGAGGCCCCAGTGGGACAGTTCGCACAGCAGCATGATCCATTCTGTCAGCACGTGATACTGGAACGAACAGAATCTTCACGGGGCCACCAGCATCGCTGAGGCGCCATCTGGTTATCACACTCCACCCCCAGGTGGCGCTGCCAAGCTCTCTCTGTTCTGGGTCTCAAAGTCCCAGAGTCAGGAAAAGCTGAAAGGTATGAGATGCCCACTCTGCAGACAAGATCACTAGCTTATGACAAGCGCATTCTCTGTTCATCAAAGGGTGATCTGACCTGCGTCAACAGGACAGTGATATTGCTACCCTGAATCATAACAACAGATCCTCCTAAAGAAAGCTAATGGGATGGCGAGGCGGCACAACAGGAACTAAGAAACATCCCTTCTCAGGGCAGGGTCCCAGCAGCATTACCTACATAGCATCAGTCAAACGCCTACCAGCCATTGATGGATGAACAAATGTGGTCTATCCATATGACAGATTATTGCACAACCATATGAAGTCATTAAGTACTAACACACTAAACATGGATGGGCCTTGATACATGCTTAGGGAGAGAAGCCGCTCGTGAAAGGACACATATTGTATGATGCCATCTGTGTGAAATATCCAGGACAGGGACCCACAGGCACAGGAAGCACATCAGTGGTTCCCAGGAGCTTTGGGGGCACTTGGGGCTGGGAGGTGAGGAGTGACTGACTGCTCACAGGCATGGGGTGATGAGAATGTTCTGGAATTAGACGGTGGTGAGTTTTGTGAATACAGCCTGAACTACTAAATTGTACACTTTTGAAGTGAATTTCATGGTATATGAAATAAATCTCGGGTTGCTTTTTTTTTTTAAGTTTTCTTTATAAGACAGGGGAAGGGCTTTCTGCTCTGTGGGTCTCCACCGCAATAGAGAAGTTTCACCACATAGGAAAAAGTGTGAAGCAAGGATGCAGCAGGGAAAAAAAAGGATCTCCCCAGTGATGTGTCTACTTGATGGCAGACCTGGGGACACCTGGCCCCACACCACAGCAGGAAGTCCAGCTTCCCTGGGAATGAGGGTCAGGGGAACGTACAGGTCTGAGTCAGGCTGAGACAGGGTTCTGCACTCCTCCCTCCTTCACATGCCCAGAGGAGGCGGGGCTGCTCCCACCGACTTACCACCCTGAAGAACAGCTCTAGAAAGTCCTGATACTCCTTGCTGCTCGCACTGCGGAAGGATTCTAGATACCTGATGTTTGCAATTCTGACTTTTCCAGTGAGTTTCTGGGCCACTGCAGGATGGAGAATAACCATACGTATTAGGTAACAGACAGTTGTCTCTGTCCTAATGACAATATTTTCATGTTGGCCAGAAGAACACCAGATCAGGGCTGACCTGCGTCTAGAAAAAAAAGGAAGACTTCCCAGCGTACACAGACACAGGCCACCAGACCCAGAGAGCGCTGGACAGAGCCTGAGCACAGAGGGAGAACCTTCCGGAGGCCATGGAACCAGCCCAGCCCCTGTGGCCCCCTTCCTCCTTGTGACACTATCTGCACAGGATGTCCAGGCAATGTGCCAGCAAGCCTGGGCACCTTTGAGAGTGGAAGGGGGCACTCTTCATGAATTATGCCGGGGCCACAGATGTGCACAGGGCTGCCCAGGCACCCCAGGGTATAGAGTCACCTTGCCATGCCACTGCTCAGAGCCCACAGCCCTCACCAGCAAGCCCAGACATCTGATTCGGTTGGCTCTTCCTCCCAGCCCTGTCCCTCTGTGCTTTCAGTGTGGTCCTGCTTTTGCACCCATCTGCTCCAGGTGTTATCCCTCTGCACAGGGCTGCTAGGAGCACGTGGCACCAGAATGTGGTCCAGGAATAGTGCCTGGATGCACCCCGCTTCTGGCCTGGCTGCCACCTCAGTTCTCACGCAGCTCTTCACCAGGTGGCCACAAAGCATCTGCTCCGTACCTGGCATTCTGAGCAGTGAAGGAGGAAGACAGGGGTCTCCCCTCAGGCTGAGTCCTGCCCCCAGAAGCTTGTTGCCCAGATGTAGGACAAACCACAAAGCCGTCCCACTGTACGTCCCTAAAGGAAACCACACCCATGTCCTTGGGACCATGACTGTCACTGCCTGAAAGCCACCAGTCCAGGCTCAGGACAGCTGCAGGGTGGGACCCGATCTAAAAGCAACCAGGAGCAGGACAGGTGCACAGGCGAGGGCAGGTGCGGACTCCCCTCAGGCATGGGGTCACGTGCCCACAGGCAGCTCCTGCCTCCAGGAGTGAGTGTGTCCTTCTGAGGCCAGATTCATGCTGAGAGCCCAGGACCCGCTCTCAGGATCCAGGCCACCCTGCCTGACCGCCAGTGACCTTCCCTTCTCCAGCTCACCATGGGCTTGGATGACAGGATCAGTGCATACCATCATCTCTCTGATGTCCACACATAATCAGTGCTGTCAGTACATAAACAAAGGCTCTAAACTTTTCTTACTATACCCCAATAGGTCATCTCAGGCAAGGGGTATGCACCCCACCCACCCTGGAGACCACTGCTATCAACTTTTAGCTGCAAGAGATCTGAGGACTAATCAACAACATCAGGCCTGCACGTGGCTGTTCAGGTAAGGCAGATGTTCAGGAAGATACCTGGATGACAGATGCTAATGAGGAGAAACAAGGAGCTTTATCTGAATATAAAACTGTCAGCAAAGATCTGCTCCACGTTATGGGAGTCTACATTTAATTTGCTCAATTTTATTAATTACTTCTCTTTACTCTCTGGCCCCAGGCTGTGGAGGCCATTCACAGATCAGCTATCCAACTGTCTGACCGTCTGATTGTTTATCATAGTCTTTTCTGAAAGCCAAGCCCAGATCTGCTGAGAGGCAATGGACGATGTTCAACAGAGCAGCATGCATCTCCGTGCCACATGCCCCTGGACATGGGTGACCCAGCATCTCAGCTTCTCCAGACAGCATCTGGGTGCTTCATAACACCACCTCTTTGTCCAACACCTTTCCCTGAAATGAACCACCTCCTGGGTGGCCTTTGCATGCCAGCCCCTTGTGAAGTGAACCAGGCATTCCCACAATGAGAAGAAATGGAAACCTAGAAGCTCACAGATAAATCCAGCTCTTTTAAACCTTCAACCACAGAAAATCTTTTTCATACGTTTTTCCCTCCCTTTAAGAACAAATGGCAATAAGTATTTCTGAAGCCTGTTACCTGTCCTCACTTTCAGGAGTACTCGGGCACTTTCTTGCCCACATGCTTTGGCTACTATCTCCACCAAGTGCAAGATGCCAGGTTCCAGGCCTGAAAGTATCAGACTTGTATTCTGGGTATCCAGGTGCACAGTGGGTCTCTGCATGGAAACCAGGGTGAGTCCAAAAGTGGGGTGCAGGGTGAGATCTGCCACCCATGCCATGTGAAAGCTGGTGCTGGTCACATTAGAGACTGTGACCCTTCCAATGGGTACAGGAACTGGAAAGTGGACATAAACAAAAAGATTAAGATCAATCAAACTGTTCCAAGGACAGGAGAAACCTCACCAAATGCTAAAATCAAATACACCTCTCAGGAACATGGGAGGTCGCCAGGAGATGCCAACCCAAGGAGGGCCTACAAAGTCCCCTTGCTGAAATCCATGCACATGGGTTCAGGGTCCCTGGATGGCCCTCTGAGCCCGGGGCTTCCTAGGAAAGCAGCCCCCTGCCCCTTCTGATTTGCTTTTCTTTCAGTCCCTGAGGTCCCTGGACTTCCCAAAATGAAGGTGTCTTGAGCAGGTTCTGGGTGGCTCCCCAAGAGAGGCCCTCCACCCCCTGGGCTGACTCACCGAGGGGTCAGCAGGGGGTGTCCATTACTGGCTACAGAGCCTTTCTTACAGGGCGACCAAGGGGCACTTCATAGTGCCCTCTTTCAGGGGCAGTCTACTCCTGAACCCACACTGCTCAGCAGAGGAAGAGCAATGCTGGAGCTACATTCAACAGCCAGCTCCCTCTGTGTGCCATCCAGGGCTGGGGGGCCAGCGACTCACAGAGATGTTGGCAGGGCTCCCTCTGTGGGAGCTGCCACCTGTCCCCTGATATGTCATCTGGGGACCTTGGTGATGCCAAACCCCCTACTCATACTGTATAATATGGGACTGCTGGGGGTCAGCACAGCCAGGAGGTGCAGGAATGCTGGGTGTCCTACACTGCTGGGGAATGTGCTCCAGTGCTTAACGTGACACATGCACAACATGCCTGGCTTCCTGCCCCAGGAGGCTTAGGAAGAGGGAGGCAAAAACTGAGGAGGAAGCACAGAGACCAAACTCAAGCTCCCATCCCAAGAAAACCAGGACCAGCTCCCGAGGGCAGGCTTGCCCAGCCTCAGATGACAGCCCCACCTCCGTGTTTGTAAGGGGTCTTAGGCTCAACAACTGCACAACCTTTGTCAGCAGAACTCATGCTGACCCTGCGGTTCCCGGTGCCTTCAAACCCCAAGGCACACACGCCCCAGCACTCACCACAGGCCGGGGAGCTCAGAGACCCAGAGGTGGGGGCCAAGGCCAGGTCTGGGGAACCAGAGGGTCTGGGGTCCACATCTTGCAGTCGTGTGGGGTCCAGAGGTGCTGGCGGTGCGTTGCGAGCAGGGAGGCTGGTGTGCCACTCAACATGACCTGTGGGGCCCTCAGTAGGGGTGGGCTGTAGGGGCAGCTCCATCGTGGAGTTTCCCGACAACCATCCAAGGGGGTCTGGGGGGCTGCCCGTGGCCCCAGAAGGAGAGCTGTGGGCTGGCCGGGGAGCCATGCTGGCCGTCCGCTGCTCTGTCCCCAGGCCTGGGGCCATGCTGGGCACCTGCTCCTCCACGCCTTCCCCTGTGCCATTCCCGTCCTGCCCAACCACGCCACTGCCCCCTCTCCAGGGAGGGGACCCTGGGGTCCGGGGCTGACCTGCTGCAGGGGTGCCCCACGTGAGCTTGGGGCTGGATGAGTGGGCGGGGGTCTCCAGGCCCAGGGCTGTTGTTTCTGTGCTGGAAGCTGAGGCTGTTGCCCCCGTCACTGGAGACACGGTGCTCACCATGTCACCTGTGGAGACACAGCCACTTTCAGATGGGACATCTGGCCCAGAAACGTCCAAGCCATGCCCTCCAGATACCACATGTGAGCAAAAGCCCCCCAGGTGGGCCTGGACTACAAGAGGGACACAGGCTGTCTCTGTTGGTGGTAACGAATATCAAGTGGGCCATGTTTGCATGTTTCCCAAGAACCCTTGGAGGGTGATGTGAGGCCCCTCAGTTAGGACACTGAGACCCAGAGAGTGGGGGCTCCACCTGGAGCCTCAGAACCAGGACATAAATGCTAGGCTTGGTTCCTGAAGGTCTCAGATGAGTCCATCAGGCCTTTGGGAAGATGGGGCGGTTTCTCTACATTTGTGCTCAGTGTGGGGCTTGGTGCCTGCTGGACAGAAGGGAAAAGAAGCTGTGTGCTGTGCATAAGGGGTATCTTCCCCGGGGAGGAATCCTCTGCCGCCTCTTCCAGAGAGGAGCCTCAGCTGCAGTGCAGGCAGGTGTCTGAGCGTTTCCTTTGCACCCCCTGCACCCAGGGCAGACATTGCTAGTCAATGCCAGCACTTTGTGTGACCTCCTCTGGCTTCTCAACTTAGCACTCCCATGGCCCCCGCCAACAGGTCAGTGCTGGCCCCAAAAACTTGGAGCAGAGACATGCTAGGCCCAGGCTCAGGGCCGCATATAAGGCCTTCTCCACACTCTCTCAGGCTTGGACACCCTCCCAGGACCCAGGTCCCCCCCGGAGGGACCTCCTCCCAGGGCTGCATCATGACTTTCATGGACCCCTTCATCCATAAAAAATTTTTAAAAATAATATTTTAAAACTGCACTGGTACAAAGGCTGGAATCGTTATATATTCACTATTGTATTTCTTTCCTTTGATTTTAGAAGCCATTAAAATTAAAACATTTCGTGGGCCCCCACCAGCAGTGGGGCCTCAGCACCGTGCCCACCGAGCCTGAGAAGTCGACTGCCCACCCCGGGTCCCTGCAGGGGTGGGGGTGCACCTGCACAGGCCCGGCCTGCTCTGGAGGGGTTGGCGTCCCTGGCCGTCAGGCACCGGCAGGTGTAGGAGCCCTCCAGGTTGATGCACTGGGCGGCTGGGGAGCAGTCGTGCTCCCGGCTGTGTGCACACTCATCCCAATCTGCAGGGCAGGAGATGCAGGACAGGAGAAAACGGCCAGAGGAGGCTCAGAAGATGAAAGGGCAATAGCAGAGTCCTACCTGACGCCTTTGTAGCTCAGAGGGGTGGGGCTGGGAGTCAGGAAGCGCTCTCAGTGCCCCGCAGCCCAGGGAGGGCGGTGCTGCCCAGAGCCCTCCCCAGAAGCCTGTGCTTGAGCAAGGCAACATGCTGAGCACCCACCTATATGGGTCATCACCTGGGGCTGGCTAATCTGGGGCAAAGTTTAGGGGATGTTGGCTTCTACAGGTGTGAATATATTCCTTTCATGTTTATTCTTTGTTCCCAGACCCAGAAAATCAGGACGGTCTCCATTCTCTGGGACATGCCAACATACCCTAATATTGAGCATTTCAACAAAGAAAAATAACCAAGACATGAGGTGTCTGGTCACGTATGACATGAACTCTCTGCCACATGGATAGGAATGCCCCTTGAGATCCTCCTTCCCAAGTCCAGGAGACCCCTGTAGGATCCCAGAGACCGCATGTCACCAGGACACCTGGCCGTTCTGATATGGGCAAGGAAGAGTGTTAGGTAAGCCTGCAAATCCCCCAGGGACCCCAGCCCTTGCTCGCCCACCCATGCCCCATGCAGCCTTGCTGTCTCCAGTCTGCAGCAGCCAGGACTAGCTGTGGGCCCACCCGTGAAACAAGGTTCATCAGGAACGCCGTTCCCTTCTCTTTCTCCCCGTCCCCACCTCCCCTCGGGTCCCCCCGCTGACCACCACCCCCACTCCCAAATCCGCTCTAAGAAAAAATCTAATGGTCTTGTGCATTTTGACGTATGACTGATCAATAAAGTGCTATATGCAATTAGCATGATAAACCCTTAAGGAATAAACCCTGCCCCAGTGCGCAGTGGCTCTGGAAGTTTCTGGGTCGGGTGGGCTGCAGGCCCATCACGAGGCCCTTGGGCATGTGCTTCCCTACAGCTCCCGGCAGAAGGGCTGGATCATGCCCAGTGACCAGGGTGCCTGGACTTGGCTGGGATTAAATCAAGATAAAAGACGAGTTCAGTTCAGGGCAGAGAAACTCTGCAGCCACGTGCTCTAGGCTCAGTTTATGGTTTCCAGCTTTGCTTCATGTGATCTTCACAGAAGCAGCTCCCCAGGGCCAGGAGATGCATCAGCTGATGCAACAGTTACACCCCCACCCGCCCTGTCTCCTTCACAAACAGGGCCCTGCTGGCCACGTCCCTGGTCTCCCTGGAGACTACCCGACCTCCAGCCTGCAGGCAGCACAAGGGGTGCTGGGGGCTGGAGGCCTGGCAGGCAGGGCAGCAGAGCCTGAGTAGAGCCGAGGTCCCAGCTGAGACCTGAGCCAAACCGCTAAGCACCTGGTGGCTATTTGTAGTGGCATGATTCACCTAGCCTTCACTCCCCCAGCACACAGCTCACAGGCAAGCCCAGAGTAAGGCAGGGGGGGCTTTATTCGGTCTCGTCTTAAAGTCCAGAGGAGGACAGCAGCCTGTGAGGGTGGGGCCCTGCTCCTGCTGGCCCTGCAGCTAGAGCAAGGGTGTGGCCCACCCCTAAGATGGGGGGTACAGCCCCTGCAGTGCTGGGATTCCTGGTGCCCAGGAACAAGCCACAGAGGCCCAAGAATAGGCCTTGGGGTCCCAGCAAGGGGCAGGTTCCTGGAGAGGCCCCAAGCTGCCTTTGGGGCTGAGGGTGCTCTGCAGAGGTGGTGCCTGTGCCAGAGCCCCCAGGTGTCGGATGCACACCCAGGGGAAAAGCGGGCACAGTGAACCTGGCTCCAGGGGCTCCATGCACAGAAGCTGCACAAAGGTGGCGTGGGTATCAGCCCTGCCACAGGCCAGTGGAGGTGACTGTCCCAGGGCCAGGCCCCTCTGCTCACATCCCTTCTCCCACTCCTGCAGAGGGTATACAGGAAGGGCTGTGATGCATCAGGAGCACCAGGCTACTGGAAGCTTTGGGGAGCAGGCTTAGGCCTCTCCTGATACCCACAGGAGAGGTGGCTGCCTGGGTGGCACTGCAGTGACCCCCAGGGTGCCAGACGCCTCAAGAGGACCCTCGCCCAGACATGGCCATCAGTAGAGCCTCATCTAGCCAACATCTGTGTGGAACCTGGAAGCACAGTGAGTGTTAGAACATGGAAGCCTGGCTCAGCTGGTCATCTCCACTTGGGAGTAAACAAGCAGACCTTAGGGAAGGGAGAGGCAGGGGAGGGGAGCCCAGGGAATGGCGAGGAGGGAGCAGGGGGTGGTGCCCCATGAGAAGGGGGCCCCTAGACGTGGAAGACCCAGATTCGACAGCTGGTCCCAGAAAAGTTAGCCCACATGTGGAGGTGGTGTCAGATGTGAGCCACACCCACACATCCCCTCATTCACTCAGCCGCCCTAAGAGGTGGGAGATTGGTATAATCTTGCCACTTCCCAGACGAGCACATGGGCCTGGGGAGGTGAAGTCACTTGTACAGGGTCCCACAGTGAGTGTCAGAGCTGGGATTCCAGCCCAGCCTAGCCCAGCCCATTCAAGAGACAGAACCCTGAGCCATGCACACCTCCTCCCAGGCAGGGTGAGCAGGACCTGTGAGGGCACAGCTCATGGACCCGGTGCAGCTCGGCATCCAGGCCTCCCAGCACCGGGCACACCCTCCTGGAGGAAGACTGAAGACACAGGCCATCCAGTGACCCAATGATGGACCCACCTCAGGAACAAGAGGTCATAACAAAACTAGCCCCATGCTTTTGGGACTTGATCGTGTGAGGCGAGTACTCCCAGATCACCCAGGAATGCCACGATGATGCCAATGCTATGATTTTTGGGCTGCAGATGAAAGGAGGCTTTTGTGTTCAGTGTGCTGACTTTTCCAGAATGGCATGAATGTGCTCCCCTGTTTTCAGCCTGCGGGGCTGGGGCCTCCCTTGGGGAGCAGAGAATACCTTCCCCATGGGTGGGCTCAGCTGGGGCTCCCTCCCTGATGGGGCAGCAAATGACCACCACCAACATCACCAACTGTAGGGCATCCCTGGCACAGGGGCCTCCCACTGCCACCCCTCAGCAGCGGGACTGGAACCTGATGGGTTACTTAAAGTGATCTGGGGAGAACCCTAGATTGTTAGCAAAGCAAGGCACCCCTCCTTCCTCTGCGTGACCTTTTGAGGCCACCGTGACAATGATCCCAAGCTTTCTGATTCATTCTCTCACAGTCCTAGAGGCCAAAGACCGCGTATTAGCCAGTCATACAGCTGCCCCATGCTTGAGCCCAACACAGACACCGTGAATGCCCAGTCCAGCTCCACCCTGTGTCCTGGGCCTTCCTTCTGGGGGAAGGAGACCCCTCCCGGGCTCTGGAGACCCTGCTCTCCACCTAGAACAAGGGATGGCGTGCAGGTGAGCTGCTGCTCCAGGCTGCGGGCCTGGGCCCCTGTTCCTGAGGATGAACGCAGAATAAAGATCATATGCCATTTACTTCCTCTCTCCTTGGGAATAAATTAAATGTGGACCTGAATCACTGGACTAAGACTTTACCCTTCCCCCAACCAGCACGCTGGCCTGTTCCTGCTGCCTGGTGCTGGAGGAGAACACAAGATGCCCAGGTCAGGGACAGAGGGATTCATCACTCAGCCCTGTGAGCGCCACGCATCACCCTGGTGCCAACTCCCCTCAGGGACTGAAACATCTGGGCTCGGGCAGGTGTCCGGGCAGCACACTCGGCCTGGGGAGGAGTTCCTACCTTGCACTAGTGTGCCCCGCTGGTCAATCTGGAACACGGCGCTCGCCCACAGAGGTGGGAGCATGGGGGCCAGCGTGGAGACACTCACAGGGAACCCAGCGTCCCACACCACCAGCCTGAGCCTCACAACCACGCTGCCGGCCTGGAGAGACATGATCTGCAGCCTCAGCTTCCCTCTTCGGAGCAGGTCAGAAATGGCCGGTGGGAAGGAGTTTTCAACCTAGTGGAGAAGAGGGCCAGCCACTCAGAGCAGATTTTCCCATCGATGTCTTCAGAACCCAGGCATCCCCTCCATGACCAAGAGGAGGCACCCAACACCAGCCTCCCCAGGCAAGCGGAGATGCCCCCAGGGCTCACTGTACCCCAGCGGGCCTCCCCGGAGACAGCTGGGCCAGGCCTGGTTGGTCTTCGTGGAAACTTGTGGTGACCCCTGCAGCCAGGCTTATCCCGGGTAAGATGCACAACCCACTTTGGGTGCCCTGAAACTTGACGTGAAGGTAATTGTATGTACAAGGAACAGACAGAGACACTGCCTGAGTGACCTATGATGGACGGATGGGCTATGAGGGACCACCGAGGAACAATCGCACGGCACCTTGGAGCTATCCCCCCTTACAGGGCTGTGTCCACAGGAAATGCACAGCAAAGCCAGGTGCTCAGGGCCACCTTGCTAGAGCCCGGGAAACCCAAGCCTTGCCCACCTTCCTGACACACCATGCCTGCATGCAGAAGTGAGTTACCATTGGGAAGGAGAGGGGATTCACTAAGAAAGTTCAAAAACTGAGTTCTCTGCAGGTGAATGGTGGGAGGCAGCCCTCCCTTGGTCTCTCCCATTCCTAGGCATCTTGCAAGCAGAAGTACTAAGTGCTCTCTGTTCCAGAATATCTTTCCAAGACGTTTGTTTGATGAATGGCCCTGGGAGAGAGATGGCAGCTCCCTCTAGGGCAAAAGGCAGATTTGTCCACCATCTGATACAATGCAGATAATGACTCTGGGGCAAGGTAGAGGCAGGTCTGCTGCAGCTCTTTACAAAAGATTCGGTCCCAAGGGACTCCTCAGTGTAATGCAGCCCCACAGCACATGCATCACCCACCCAGGTGCCTCCACTCCACACCCATAGTACTGGGGGGTGAGAGGGGGATTGGCATCAAGGCAATACCCAAGTGCCCACTGTGCTGGGTGATAAATCCCTCTAACACTGACCCAGGCTTCCCACATTCTCCACCAGCACCAGGCAGCTGGAACAGGCCAATGTGTGGGCCTGCAGGAAGGGTAAAATCTGAGCCCTCTTACCATGCCTCCCAACTTAGCAAGACCCTTTGTTCCCCAATTTACTGTCTGGGGATGGGCGGCACTCCGAGGCTGGTTCTCCAGGATGTGTGCTGATGTCTCCCTCGGGCCACAGGCAGGAACGGTGCTGTGACTGCTGGTTAAAGCCCTCCTCCCTCAATGAAGCTACTCCAAAATGGGGAGACAGATCCCTGGGCCCCCAGAGGGAAGCAGTACAGCCCGTTTGAATCAAGGATATCTTCAAAGAAGGGCTGGCCTCAAACCTAGACTGAGTGCCCGTAAGAGGGGGGAAGCGCTGAGCAACCTCTGCGGGGTCTGGGCTGGGCCCCCAAAGGCAACATGCTCGGCGGCACCACAAGGGTAGAGAGGCAGCAAGCGACTGGCTTGCCTCACTCCCGACACAGAGGAAGCCCCACCCTGTGCAAACCCCGCTTTACCTCGAGCAGCAGTTGCCGAGAAAAGTCCTGGAACTCCGGATGGCTGCGGTTGAGCAGCTGCTCTGTCACGTTGCGGTCCAGGATCCTTACCGTGACCTCGAATGCCCTGGCCTCTGAGGCAGACATAATGCAAATAAGCTGAAATCCAGTGATCAAAAGTCACATGCTTTTCTGCTAATGTTTTCCATAAAGCCTTTTCTTCAGGGGAAATTTTTAAAAACACAGGGTGAGGTATGAGTCTTAAATCAGGGTAGCCAAATTGGGGGAATCAATTTACCTCTACGCTGGAGTGACATACACACGCACACTTCTACAGCCAGGGCTGGGCATCTGCAGAATGAGTTACAAACATCACCCACAGTCCTCCTGTCCACATCCACGGGACGGGGCCTCATAGGAAGGTCTCCAGGCCACCTCTCACAAGGCGTGGCTGCTGCTTCCCTTTACCCTGCTGATGAGCACATGGCCCACCCAGGCCCCCTGTGCTCACGACCAGCTTGTCCCCGTTTGCACAGGACTTTCCAGGTCCCACTGAAAGTCCCACCTGTCAAGAACCTTCCCTGTCCCACGCAGACCGATAGGCCAGTCACCCTACAAGGGAGCTGTCCTTTTCTTTGGACATAAACGAAGCTGGGGAAACTCAAGGGAAACATGGGAGCGGATACCCACCCCGTCCCGACAGTGACACCCACATCTGCGGCACAGCCTGCCGCACCCTGCACCCTCCTCCAGGACCTGACACTACCCACAGCTTTGCCCCATCCCGGCTCTCCCTGGCTCGCAGGCTTTGGGGAGAGGGGCAGAGTTTATCACTGATGCATGCTCATGCCTAAGGCCGCAGAAACATCACCACAGCAAGATACTGTTCATTTCTAGATTGGGGCCCTCTGGACCTTCTCCCATCTTAGCCAGAGAAACATATCCTTTGTGGCCTCAGCCTCGATCCTGCCCACATCACAGACCCTCATGGATGGTCAGTAGCCACCAGTGTTTGGGGTTCAGGGGAGGCTCGGGGTGTCACTGCTACAATAATATCTACCACCTCTCAATATCGGGACAAGGTTGGACCGATCAGCTAGGGCCTTCAAGGCAAACCAAACTCCCTCCCTAAGAAGGGCTCTGCAAACCAAAGGCCTTTTACAATGCGGGGAAGGAAAGAAGGTCAAGGCCAGGAGGCAGTAGGCTGGCAATTCAGAAGTCTTCTGGGATCTTCCCGATCATCCCTCCTGCACTGGGATGCAGGTCTTCTTTCCCAGGGCACAGGGCTTGGGGGCTGGGTGGGCCTGCAAGATCCTCCCTGTCCCGATAGAGATGAACGGGCCCTGCAGAGGGTGGCTGGGGTTGGGGGGCAGCCGAGGGGGGAGACAGCAGCGGGATGCGGAGCTGGGGTAGCCTCGCTCCCGGGCCTTCAGGGAAGGAAGCCCTCCCGGGTCTCAGGGGCCCCACTCCGCTCATCCTCCCAAGCACTTTGAAAACGAAATGAGAAAATGAGTTGCTGCCTGCCCGGAAATCAGAGCCTCACGCAGAGCCGGGGTTGCATTTTGTGTGTCTGGGGCCCCCTGGGAGCCCATTCTGTGTGCCACCACAATTCGGCATGTGTCAGCCCAAATCAGTCCATCAAGGGTGTGGGCCATGCCATCAAGGTGTCCCTCATGCCACCCTCGCCATCACAAGCATCCCTCTGTGCACACGGTGGACCTTGCAGGGTCTCTCGGCCACAACTTCTGTGCTCTGTTCTCTGGGGCTCCCCCCATTCTGGCCCCTGCACCAGAGTGCCTTGGAGTGCCCCGCACCCCCAACCCACCTCCCCCTGCCAGAGGCCAGCCCAGAAGTCCCCTATGCAAAACCTGGAGCGGCCTCCACCCCCCAGGGGCCCCCCGACCAGGCAGAGGGGAGCACACCACGGGGCAGGGCCACGTGGGCCGTGCCAGCTGACTTCGGATACCGGAATTCCCAGTTCATGCCTACATCCTGTTTGGGGAAGAAAAGTTTCTTCACGGCCCCAATACAGCGGTCATTATGTTTGCTTTTCAAGTGTGTGGAGTGGGAGTGAGGCATGCTTGGTGAATACCCTGCGCTCTGCTCTCTGGTTTGGAGAGTTACACAGACTCAGCCCGTGGAATTAAGGGTGTCAAACGGTCTCAGTGCATGCAAATCGCTGCCCTGTTCTGCTGTCGTACTTCTTGCCTCACTCCATCTGATTGCTTTGTAAGCCCCACAACCTACAGGAAGGGGAGCAACCCTCGGGGCTCTGGGGCTCCCCGCTCTCAGGCGTCTGAGTATGCCCCAGCAGGATGACATGCCGGGGGACCATGGCACCTGTGCAGACCATGACCTCCATGGCTCTGCTCAGAGGACGCGGAGCTGCCACAGGCCCATTAGGAAGGGGGCCGGGCCGATGACCACCCTGCCCTGCTTATAGGAAGAACAAGGATCGGAGTCACTGGGGCCAACAGACCCGAGACAGAGCACCCAGCTCCTGGGTAACGCGGAGCCGGTGAGTGGCCTTACCGGTTCTCACAGTCAGCACGGCGGTGACATGGGCCCCGCACGCCTGATAGCTGGTCCTCACCCCATATAGCACTCCGGCCTCCAGCCCGGCCACCTCCAGGGTCATCTCCCTGGTCCTGGCGCTCCTGAGGAGCTCCTCACCCTTGTAAACCTGCACATGGAAAGTGCGGTTCTGGGTGGAATTTAAACTCCAAGACACCTGGAAGCTGCTGCTGGTGACGTTGAGGGCCATGTAGTCTCTGATGGGAGGGCAATCTGTGAAGGTAAGCCCCAGGGAGACACAGAGAACATCAGAGAGGAGCAACGAAAGCAAGAATCAGCAAGAGGGGCCGCATCCTGAACAGCAAAGCACACCATTCACCCAATGAAAAGGCAGCCTGCTGAATGGGAGAAAGTACTTGCAAATCATATGCCTGATAAGCGGTTAAAATCTGAAATATATATGGAACTCAAACAACTCAATAGCAAAAAGCAAATACTCCAATTTTTAAAATGGGTGGAGGACCTGAAGAGACATTTTTCCAAGGAAGAAATAGGGATGCCAACAGAACATGAAAAATGCTCCACACCACTGATCACCAGGGAAATGCAGATCCCAACCCCAGTGAGACAGCACCCCACACTCGTCAAAATGGCCACTATCCGAAAGATAAGGAGCAGTGAGTGATGGCAAAGATGTGGAGAAAGGGAACCTCGTGCCCTATTGGTGGGGATGTAAATGGGTGCAGTCACTGTGGAAAACTGTATGGAGCTTCCTCAAAAAGTTAAAAATAGAAATACCATAGGACCCAGCAATTCCACTTCTGGGTATGTACCCTGCAGAGAAAGTGGAAGTTCCAGTGGCCAGGATTCAGGTCCAGTGGCCAGGATTCTCACCTCCCCTGGTCAGCTGGCTCACCACACACGTGTGGGTAACCCGTTACTACTGACTCCATATGAGGAGCTCTGCCCAGTGCTCTGAGCTGCACGGCTGCAGGAGAGGCTGGAGTGGCGGCAACACCCAGGACAGACCGAGACCCGGAGGCAGAGACCGGCTTCCTGCATGCAGACTTGCCCTGAGGCAGACGGGATGCTTGTGCTTGACCTGCCACCGTTGGTATAAAGTTGGGTATAAACCCTTTCACCCAGGAACGTTCCACTATCTTTTTTTGGTCTCACTGAATCAGGAGTAAACTTGCCCGGGGCTGAAATTCTCAGGCAAGACATACCCAAAGGAAATGAGAACACGATCTGGAAGATTTATCTGCAGCCCACGCTCACTGCAGCGTCACTCACAATAGCCAAGACACCAACACAGCTACGTTGTGTAACTGGCCACTATGGTGTGCCATGGCTTAAACACATATCCCAAAATTCAAATGCTGGATTCCTAACTCCCAGTACCTCAAAATGTGACTGTCTTTGGAGGGAGGGTCTTTAAAGACGTGATTAAGTCAAAATGAGATCTGGCCCTGATCCAACCTGACAGTGACCTTTTCAGAAGAGATCAGGACACAGACACACACACACAGGGACAGCCACGTGGGGACGCAGGGAAGGCAGCGTCTACACGCCCAGGAGAGGGGCCTCTGAGGAGCCAGTCCTGCTGACACCTCGACCTTGGGCTTCCAGTCTTCAGGGCCAAGAGAGAAAAATGCAGGTTGTTTAAGCCACCAGGCTCGTGGCTCTCTGCTTTGGCAGCCTGAGCAGGTTGGTGTGTGGTACAATGCTTCTCGCTACATTTATAAACATTATCTCAGTCCAACTCCAAGGGCTCAGGCCCTTCTGTGTCACACGTACGTCACTTGCCCAGACTTTGCTGGGCTAACTCATCATCTGAAGCTGTGGCCTGGTGTAGGAGCAGAACCCAGGAGTCAGGCTGAGGTTTCTGTTTCCATACCAAAATCCACACTTTAGGGAGTACTCTAACAAGGCAAGTGCTATATATTTTAATATTAAAATAGAATTAAATCTCTTTTGGGGAGAAAAATTCTGGCTTACACTGGCACATGGGCAATATGAATTACATGAAAAGTAGGGCAACCTTCAGTCTAGGCACCATAATTTTTACATTGAAATTTGAGTTCTATAAAGACAAGCCATGAGATTTTTTAAAAATCTTCCTCAAAACCACAATAGAAGAATTAAAAAGGGTCTAAAGTTTCCCAAAGCCCTTCATGTAACTATTCATAGGAGGTATGCTTTCCGGTATGATAGAAAAATTCTCTTTCTAAATTTTTCCAGAAAAAAAAATACATTTTTTTCCTTTCAGTAGAAAATGAAAACTGTTACAATTCAACCCATTTCCCTTTTTGCCTTGGCTGCCAAGGGGCTCACAGTTGAGTACCCCCCCACCCTAGTCCTGTGACTCACCCTGCTTTATAAATCACGATGCCCCACCTCCAGTCCTGTGAGCCCCACAAGCCCCCCCCAAAGCAGGTGGGTGTGAACTATTGGAAGCTCATGAGAAATGTGGTCTCAGCCCTCCCTCCCCTGTGGTACTTAGACAGGGTGTGTGACCTGCACCTGAGTTCCCAGTTTCCTGATAACTCCCAGGAAGGGGAGGCAGAGTGTGGTTTGAAGACACCTCCTGAATTGTCCAGTATTTTTCTGTGAGTTTGTCCTACAAATGGACACAGACACAGCTGTTCAGGCTCTGTGATGCTCTCCTCTGTGGCAGGAAGAGTGGGAGCGTGTTGGCTGTGGGGCCCTGTGAGCCTCCCCCCCACTCCCCCCCAGTCACTGGAACTGCTGGAACTTCCAATGACCACACAGCTTTTCCATCTTCCCGGGGGGCCGTGTGTCTCCCTAGGAAACCTGAAAACACTGTGTGTTTTCTCTGTGCTGCCGAGCCACACAATGCCAGATGTTCTTTAATCCTGTGGACAACAATGCAGCGCCAGGTAACAGGAAAGAGCAGTGGGGGGCCAAGAATGAGGCCCGAGGGCTTGAGCAGCTGTGCACAACCCGCATCCAGGCTGTGGCCCCGTGTCCTTGTGCCTCTCAGGAGTCAGATGTGATGTGGGGCTGCAGATGGCTGATCCGTATCACGGGCCTGGTGCTTGGTCATTTAAAAGCACGTTCGTTAAAAAGCCTCTCAGCGGAGGGAGATTAAAGTAGTGTATACCTGTGTATTTGAGAAGAACCCTGAGACTAGTACAGGAAGAGGCCAGGAGGCTACAGCAGCTGGAGAGATACTCGCTCTTTAAACTGAGAGGCAAAGGGTCCCTGCCACACAGCCGGTCTGAATGCCATGAAAGCTTCAGACGCATTGCAGCAGCTGCCGTCTGTCTGTGGCTTCTGGCCACTGAGTCTGTGGGCACACGGAGCAAGAGACTCCCCTTTAATCCAGGGAAATAAATTCTCCCTGAGGACAACACTACCACTGAACATTCATGTGCCCTTCTCCAGTGTATTAACGTTGAGGCCCTTGCAATGTCCATATTCAACTATTCTGACCAACTCCAGTGGCAATTTCTTACGGTTCCATACTTACTGAGCATCTACTATGTGACCAGCACCGCCGTGGCCCTGATGGAAATAGCGATGAATTAACACCCACCCCAATGCCAGACACACACGTGGGAATGTCCAGGCCAGTGTGGCCTGCATCGTAGCAGCAGGGACACGGGGCTGTGGGGTTTTCACGGGGAGCTATGGACACTCCCTCCCAACATCTGTCACATTGCCACACGAGCCATCAGTGACATAGCACTGGCATGGGCTGAGTGCCACCTGCACATCATCCCACTGAGGCCTTCCAACAATACCAGGAGACAGATGCTATGAACCCATTGTACAAAGGACAAAACTGAGGCTGGGAAAGGGTAAGAAGACAGTCAACAGCAAAGCTGTCCAATAACTAAGCTACCCCCCACCATGCTGTACCCCTAAGCTATCCCCCCCCACAAAGCTGACTGATAGCAACCTCCTAAGACAGCAGCCCCTAGTTCCCAGAGCCTGTTAAAGTTACCTGGTTTGGAAAAGGGGGTCCTTGCAGGCATGATTAAGTTAAGGCTCTCCAGACGAGATGGTCGGGATTATCCAGGTGGGGCCCAAATGCAATCACAGGTGAGCTCGTAAGAGGGAGGCAGAGGGAGATTTGACGCCACACGCAGAAAACGGGGAGTAGGTGGACAGAGGGAGCTCTGAAGGGGCCGGCCTCAGGGCCGGAGGGACGCGGCTACAGCCAGGGACACACGCAGCCCCCTGGGAGGTGGGCAGGGCCAGGCACCATCCTGCCCCGGAGCCTGCAGAGGGAGCAGGGCCCCGCCCACACCTCGGTTGGGGCCCAGTGGTGATGACTCGCCTTCTGCCCCCGACCAGACTAAAGGCCAAGTTGGTGGCATTTGGTGACAGGAGCACCAGGAAATGACAGCACTTCCCAACTCTTCCACCTGTTTTCAAGGCAGCTCTCGGCTGAACAGTGCAACCTGCTGGGAAGTTCTGGCCAAATGCTCCAACTTTTAACATACTGAGGCCAACCCCATTCTGTAGGACAGACCTCGACACATTTTAAACTGGAAATAGCCTTTCTGCCCGTTGCCCCTCTGTCTTCCCTCTCACTTGGGCTTTAGTCCTTCCTCAGCCAGGATGCTTTCTTCTCGCTGACCTTTAGCTTTGCAATGTTCATCCTATAACGTGGCTTCAAAAATAACACCCAGTTCTTGACTCCATATGGCCCATGGCCTGCCCCATCGTACAGTTGGACCTAGATCCAGCGGCGCACTTCGGACACTGCTCAGGGGTCTGCGCCATTATGTGTTCCGGGCAGTGCCAACCCATCCCGGCTGAGCAGGGCGCGTGGGGCCTCACCTCTCCCACCGTCTCCGTGCCAGGCTCTGCTCCTCTTTCCCCGAGGCCTGTCAGCTCAACACCTGAACCTTGTAAAGGTGGGAAACACTGAGGACTCAGGCCACGATTCTGAGCATTCAGCTGTGTGAACTCTGACCAGAGGGGGAGAGCACCCACTGGGAGAACCTGAGCAGCTGCTCCCCGCCAGCCTTGGCTGCCTCTCCAGTGGGCAGCCCTGCCCTCACCAAGCCTCAAATTTAGAAGTTTCTTTACAGAGCTTGTCTTGTCAATGGGTCTCAGGCCAAGGCAAGTCCACTGTGGATTCAGTGAGACCAAAAAATGACTATGGAACATTCTGGGGGTAAAAGGATTTATCCCCAACTTTATTCCCACGGTGGCAGGTCAGTCACTAGAATCCTATCCACTCAGACGAGTCTGCAGGAAGCAAGCAGGTCTCTGCCTCTGGGCCCCTCTGCCCACACAGCCGTCTCAGTCTCTGTCCTCAGCACTGCTGCACTCCAGTCTTGCCTCTGCTCTCCTGCAGCCATACCACCGTGTCACCCAGAGCACTGGGCGGAGCTCTTTATATAGAATTAATAGCAACATATTGCCCACACGTGTGTAGTGAGCGAGCCGATCAGGGCAGGGGAGGCTACAGGAACCTTCACTTTATCCGCACTCCAACCGTCCAGGATTCTCGCCTCTCCCTCTATGTGCCCTCAATCCTCTAGGAAACTGGAACATTGTAACCAAATTAATGCAGTATACAAATACTCAAAAGAGTTAACCAAAAGAACCATGGGTGGGCCTTACAATACCCACCTTCTCCAGCTTCTCCAGCAGAAAGTCTTTGTGGGTTAAATTGTAACATTTCCAGAATATCTCGCCAGGCTTTAGTATATCTGCATATCAATAAGCGTTCAGAGGTGGAAAGAAGTACAGTTTTAGTGCATTTGCACCATTCCTCAGTGGTGGAGAGAAGTTCATCTCCATATCAATGGGTAATTACCTGGGCAAGGAGGGCTCATCTGTACCTGAGAGGGGAGGGGAGGGGAGGGCCGGTTTTGCTTCTGCAGGAGCAGGAAATAGAGAAATGGCCCCAGACTGCAGTTTGTAAGCAATGAACCGATTTTAAACTTTATTTCTCCCTTTGACTGATTTCAGTTTTTAGAGGTGTTTTGCCCTGGCATTTCCTCTCCCCGGACTTACAGTCTTGCAGACACGCAGGCCCATCTTGTTGCTTTGTCTCTGCCTTCTGCTTCATCCTCAGCGGCCAGGGCGGCTGCTCTGGGTTCAATTGTTGCCACAGCTCCAGTAAGAGTCTGTTTGACTTTCCATCTAATTTCTTGCTGTCTGCTCCTGCCTTTATCAAATAAACCCACATCTGGGTTCTCGTGACCTTCACGGGGCCCTTTAAATTCTTCCTTCGAGAAGCAGACCGTATTTCCTTTGGTGCCCTCACTGCTTGAGCCTGAGGATAGGAGCTGAGCACAGGGTGCTCCACGACCTGGGGAGGGGGCTGCACCCCTCCTGGAGGAACCCGCGGTTGCCAAGTCCTGGTTTTCTTTCTGGCTTTCAGTTTCAACAGAGGAGGGGCTGATGCCTCCGGCAGAGGCAGGGCCTCCACCCCCACCTGTTCATCAAGCCTTCTTTCCTCCATTTCTGGAGCTGACGGCTCCATTAACTCCTTCACCTGCCCCTGGCACCTGGCAGCCTGTGCTCTCGTGCTGCTTCCTCTCGGGCCACCACGACATCCTTCACCATCTCCACCGTACCTCACGGCGACGCCATTTCAGTCACCAGCACATTGTTTACCTCCTCAACGGCACCTCGCAGCTCATGTTCTCGTGCTGCCTCTTCCCTTGCTTCCTGCAGGAGGATGTCTTTCTCCCTTTCAGCTTTTCTCAATATTGTGAGAAAAAAACCTCCCACCATTCCCGCAGCCTGGCAGGCACTCTGTTTCTCTAAGGAATTCCCTGTTTTGCTGAGGGCCTCCTTTACTGCCTCAGGTGTTGCCTTGGGGCTGTCCCAGTCCTGGGGTGGGGCCCAGTCCTCTAGGAGGCAAGCCACACCAGACCACACGTCCACTGGGGGACACTGGAAAGTCTCCCCATCCGTAGGGGTAGCCCGCTGAGACACCCCTCCCATGAGGGCAGCCTGTTCTTTTCCCTGGTCAACAATGAATCCTGCCAACTGTCGCCAATTGCCTTGCAAATGGATATTAGCACCTGGCAAGTTCACTGCAGAGTCAATGAGACCGAAAATGACAATGGAACGTTCTTGGGGTGAAAGGGTTATAATCCAACTTTATTTCCACTGTGGCAGATCAGTTACTAGAATCCTGTCCACTCAAAGCGAGTCTGCATGCAGCAAGCTGGTCTCTGCCTCTGGACCCCTCTGCCATCTGTCTCTGTCCTTGTCTCTGCTCTCCTGCAGCCTTGCAGCCATGTCACCCAGGGCACTGGGCAGAGCTCTTTATATAGAGTCAACAGCCATGTATTGCCCACATGTGTGTAGGGAGCTAGTCAACCAGGGCCAGGGGAGAATCTTGGCTACAGGAACCTTCACTTTATCCACAGAGCTGAATAGCTACTGGGTTCCAGCTAGGAAGGGGGCTGTGTCAGAGGGAGTTAGGATGACCCTTGGAGACAGTTACAGTCCATCGTGAAAGCAAAACGTGCTCCTGAACATTAAGTGCAAACCATGCAATATTTCTTACGGTTTTGCATTGTGCAAGAATCCAGCTGCCCCGTGTCTCATTAATTGGGTGACTAATTTCACAAGAAAAGCATCTGAAATTTGTGCTGTATTTTCCATGGGTTTGTACCTCTCATCCATTCCAGCAGATTGCTCATTTATATTAGCTTCTAAATTTAAAACACATGCTGTTTCCCTTAGCAATATGCGACTGGAATTCACTCTGCAATTCTGGTCTGCAAGCACTGGATTTGTCTTCCCTGCCCTATTATAAGTGAAGTCAGCTTTCTATCCATATCTAGCTGTCCAGTGTCCTTCATATGGAAGGGATCTTGCAACTTGCGCCGGGTAGCATGGCAATTTGAATGAACATTCCTAACTGTAAATAATCAGATATTTTTTCAGATTACTAACCAAAGTATTGTCAATAACTGCACTCTAGCCTTCTATTCTCATTGACTGGACAGGGTTCTCCCCAAAAAGTCAGGAGACCCAGGACAGTGTTTGTGTGGGGGGTCCTGTGCAAAGCATAGTGGGCACATTCGTGCATGGGTGGGGAGGTGCACATGTCTATCCAGACCCGTGCAAGCTGGGGTTCCACCTGCTCCTCTCCCACTCATCCCAGCTGCCAGGCCAGTGCCTGCACCTGCTGCCCAGCCCACCTGCAGACAGCTGCCGACTATGTGCCTCCCTGAGCCCTACACCTCCGCAGGAGCAGCCACAGGTGACTGCCATCTGCAGCTGGGGCAGCCCTGCAGGGAGGGGGACAAGAGATTCCAAGGGCAGCTTCCCAGAGGCAAGGAGGCCTGAACTGGGCCAGGCTCCTTTCCGTCTGCACACAAATGTGCTTTAGCGTCATGCACCTCCTGGGAGTCACCCCTCCTCCAAGTTCCGCTTGACTTCTCTGAGCCTCTTCAGAGTAAGTGCCTATAAGGATTCCCCCTTCCCACTCTTCTTTCTGCCTCACCCCGTCCCTGCAAACCTCCCCTCCTGTTCCAGATAGTGGGGGTCCTCAGCCGCAGGCCCAGGCCTCTGCCCCATCTCCCAGGAGGTCCACAGCTTCAGTGCCACCTGGCTGCTGCTGACCCCGGGTTTGTGTGCACAGCCCTAACCTGCCACTGATGGTCTCAGTCAGCATTGTGGCATCTCCCCTCGATTCCTGTTCCACTCCGTTTCAACTGTCATTGCCCAAAATGACAACAATAACCCCAGTCTACCCAGTTCATCTAGAAACCCCCATCTGTTTATCATTCAAGCAAGACATCTGTGCGCTGCCCTATTTCCTCTTCCTCTCCCACATCTAGTTCACCAGTAAGTCCCAAAGATTCTGTCTCCAGGGTGCTCCTGGCATCCACCTCTCCCCACGGCCTCCGCCACCTAGATTCCAGCCCTCTGAGGCTCATCTTCACAGCACTTTTCAAAATATAGTTTCTTCTTTCTCCAAGCCAGTGGGTGGCAGGAACCCACCTGGAGCAGAGCTGGGCACTTCCTTCTCGGTGTTTCCACCAGCACCGGCATGACCTTTTGCCATCTGGGTTGACCTTACAATGCCAGGGACAGCCCAGGCTCTTCAAGGCCCCAGTGTGAGTATTAATCAAGCCCTTTCCACTCTCAAAAGGGTCCCCATTAAAAATAAATCATACAGGCATCCTGCTTGCACTCTGTGCCTGGCAGGCCCCTGGTGTGCTCTCTCCAGGAGCAAAAACTATGATCTGTTCATACGTGTCGCCCCGAGCAGCAGCTGGCGCAGTGAACAGCGCATCAACAAGCATTTGTTAGACCAAAGAACTGCAAGAACAGCCTATGCGATGGAGGGTGCTGGGCTGGAACAATCGCCTTAGCCACCCCTTCCCTGCCTGGGAGGGCCCTGCCACCCACCTTCACACATGCTGGGCAGCCTCTGGGGAGATGAGGTGGGCGACTCCAAGCAGCAGCCACACTGAGATGAGCCCCGCGTGTTGGAGCACACTTCTCCTCCAGAGCAGGCACTGAGTTCATAGAAGAAACATCTGTTTACATCTATTGAAAAGGAGAACAGGTGAGTTAAACCACCTGGTCATTTTCATCAGTCTCCACACCTGTGTTACACAAACTGAAGAAGTGGCCTGGGCAGTGGGCCCTGCGATAACTTATGAAGCCCCATCTTCAAAAGCCCACATGGTCCACTGGTCTCCTTCACCAGGGCAGCCGGCCCACATCTCAGGGCACGCGGCTTGCTCACCTGGCGGCCAGGATGTGCAGGTGGGAGGCTACCGTGGCCCGAGTTGCTGTGGGACCGTATCGAGTCTGAAGGGTCATGATGCAGTCCGAGCATCCTACCCAGGAATAAACCTTGTGGACGGGCAGTTTTCTGGACTGAGAAGGAGAACAGAGAGGCCCCAGGCAGCCAGCCAGGCCCGGTGACCATCCTAGCAGACAGAAACAACCCTGCGGAACACCAGCTCAGGCAAGGCCAGGATGAAGGCAGACAAAGCCAGGCCACTTCACCTTTATCCAAGCCAGACAGAAAAAGACCACCTGTCACCCACAAAATGCCAACCCCCTCTTGGCCAAGATAAGTGACTATTAGTTATTTACTAATTATAGCTCATCTCCATGCTAGTTTTTGCCTGCCGCTAGATAACATTTACTGTGATACCCAGTCACAGAACTGACAGCGCCCCATTCAGATCAAAGTCATGCTCCTTAGACCCGCCCCCATGGCCTCTCTAACAGCCTCCTGCTGAGACAAGCCTCCCCTTGCTGCCTCCAGGCATCCCTCCGGGGTGCTCTGTGGTGTCTGGATGGAGGGCCATGGCAGAACAGGACACGCCCTTCCCTTACTGGCACTGCTTGGCCTGGTGTCAAGCACATCTGTGGATTTGGAAGGGAATCAGATGCAACCATTTTCACTTTTGCAGGCTCCAGACCCTGCTGTCACTCTGTGTGACCTTCGGGGTCAGAGAAGCTTCACCAGCTGAGCAGCCATCTGCCCACCAGGGAACAGCAAACCGCAGTAGCTTCAGGCCATGGGAGCCCAGCCCCTGGCTCAGCGCTGCCCTCGGCTGCTGCCAGGCTGCAAGGGCACAGCTGAGCAGGGGAGACAGTGGCCACGTTGCCCACAGCCAAAAATGTGTCCTGTCTGGCCCTTTTCAGAAAGTTTGCTGACCCCTGACAGAGACCAAAATCAGAAGAAAGGAAAAGACAGACTAAGGGATGCCTTCCAGAAACAAGGCCACATCTGTGTGCTTCGCCATGCTCAGCTCTGTACAGTTCTGCTGAGACGGCCTCCAAGGCACAGGGATGCCCCCCGGGAAGATGGGTAAAGGCAGCAGGGAAATTTGGAAACCCAAGAACTGGAGAAACAAGTTATTCATGAGTTGTTCTGGGATTTGCTCGCCAGTGCCCACTTGGCTGGCAGGAGAAGCCTGGGGGTGAGTGGGTGTGCGGGGGACGGGGAGAGCTGTTGGGGCAAAACATTCTCAAATCTTTGCCTCAGAACTTGGGGGTTAAACTTGGCATGGGCAGAGTGAGCTAAACATGGGAAGACCACCCCTCGCCGGCTGGACTCTCTGCTTCTACTATGCCCCCTCCCCAAGGAGAGGACCAAGGGAGGGCACCACCTTGCACCTGGACGCTGATCACTTCATAGATGCGCTTCACGATGCCAGTCAACATCGCAGAGACGTTAGCGACGGGCACCGGCTGCAGCAGGCCCAGCAGCAGCTGCAACACAGTGGTCGAGGTGTCCCCACCGGCCGACTGCAGGTGATGGACAGTGGGGTCCAGAGGCTGCAAGGCACCTATGACCTGTGAAGCCGGAGTTAGACTGTCACACAGTGGACGGCGCTCCCGTCAGACAGGCAGGGAAGCTGAGGCCGGGGGAAATCAACATTAACTGTACACATGCATGATTCAGCTCTGCAGGAAAGGACGTCTGTAATATTTTTATATTGGTCATCAGCCCAATAAAAGTCCTAGAAACCAGATTCTAAATACTTCTGCAACACCAGTTGTTAAGAGTTGAATTATGTTGTCACTCCCCCTCCCAAAAAAAAAGCTATGTTGAAGCCCTCACCCCCAGGACCTTAGAATGTGACCTTATTTGGAAATAGGGTTGTAGAGATGTACTTAGTTAAGATGAGGTCACTAGGGTGGGTCTTTGCTCAATATGACTGGTGTCCTTATACAAAGAAGACGTGTGAACACAGAGATAGACACAGATAGGAGGAAATGGTGTGAGTGGTGGGGGTGGGGAGGGGATGTTGGAGGGGATGTGGAGGAGACCACTGTCTACATGCCAAGGAGAAAGTCCTGGAATGGACCCATCCCTCCACTTCAATGTCAGGCTTCCGGCCTCCAGACAGAGAAAGAATGAATGTCGCATAAGCCCCCAGGCTGCGGTGCTTGGCTCAGCAGTTCCGGGAGGAAACACCAGCCAGCGACAGGCCCCCAGCCCCCACACTTGCAGTTGGTGACAGAATTAGATCTGGAATCAGAGAACTAGCTGTCAGACCATGATCTCATGTTGTACACATCTGATTTCTTTTCTAAGTTAATGATCCCTTTTCTCATCTCACATACATTCTTCTTTGCTCCAGCCTAATATCTTAAAATCTCAAGATATAATTTGCCTTGGGAAGCAAGGCAAGTTGGGATGACCCCCTCCCTGCACCCCCACCCCCGGCAGAGCAGCATCACAAAACAGGCTCTGCCAACAGGCACCCAAGGCTCCGTGGGAAGCCAGAAAGGCAGTCTGGGGGCCCTGGAGCCCGTCTCCTCCTCGGCACCCTCGATACCCCTTCACAGCGGGAGACACAGCCCATAATTGAGGAGGCAGAACCGAATGCCAGCCCTGGCCTCCTGGGAGCCCCACACCAGCCAGGACCCGAGAGGGCAGGCCCCCTCCCGCAGGGCGGTGGTGTCTGCCTGCAGAAACAAAACCTACACACATGAAGAGACAACAGATGACACAGGACAATAGTGTTTACAGTTCCACTACCATGACAACAACTAAACAGCTCGGAGCCTACGTGTATCAGTGCCACGCAAGCTCTTCACATGCATGATGAACCTCCAGTCACTGTCTCAGACAGGATTCGTGTTAGTCCTATTTAATGGAGGAGGTAGCTATCGCACAGACAGGCTAAGTAACTTGCCCAAAGTCACACAGCAGCTTTGGGATTGAATCCAAGCAATCTGGCTGCAGAGCTGTGCTTTTACTGGCTAACGGGGCAGCCTAACCCCCTAATGAGCTAAGACAAAAATCACTTCTAGCTGGGGAAGATGGCAAGAATGACGTTCTGGACTATCTCCTGGCTGTCTTACTGTGTGGCCCAGGGCAAGGTGAGCATGTATGTCCTCTGTTCTGGGGCCACCACAGCCCACTGTCCTAAACACAGAGGGACCCGACCCCGGGACTGACACCATGACCGCCAGCCCCACATGGGACACATCCATGGGATGTGAAGGTCAGGCAGGAACAGCCACACACTGTGTGGGGCCCAATGCAGAAGGAAAATGTGAGGCTCCTTGTTCAAAAAGTATTAAGCTTTTCAAGAGGTAACAGCAGGACCTCACGCTAAGTGTGGGGTGACTGCTTGGGTCACTTACCCCTGAGGCCGGCTGTGAGGTCAGATCACCACCTGGGAGAGCCAGCATATGGGACTGATGGATCCCCTGCCCACTGCTGGGTCCCCAGGACTGATGGTAACACCCATCATGTGAAGTCCTGGTTGGAAAGCCATGCTGATGTGTCAGAGGTGTGAGCTGTCACAGCAGGGCCACCAGCAGCACCCCTCAAGGGGACAGGTGGCCATGTCTAGAAACACTTTCGGTTGCCACACCTGGGCACATCCCTGGGGTCCTGTGGGTGTAGCCCAGTGTGCTGCGATGGCAGGCAGCCCCAAACGTCAGAAGGGCCAAAGTGGAGGACCACATCTGGAGGCCAGGCCCCGGCGCCCTACAGAACCTGGGGTCTGAGCAAGGTGGATAAGGGTCTAGGCTGTCTCCTCTGGGCCTTTGTTCAAGCAGCATGAGGGTGAAGGATTCGGGGTTTCACTTTACATTCCATATAGGGCGGGGCTTACAACGCAACCTGCACACCTTTGTGCATGTACCAAATTATGTGGAAATCACACCTCGTTAGAGCTGGTTTTTAATGAGGAATTCTCATCTGTTTAAGAGTCAGTCATTCGGGGGTCACTCATGGAACTCCCCCTGACCTGTGTCCACCCCATGCCCACACATGCAGCCACCCCGTGGCTCTCCCACCTACCACGGAGTGCAGAAGCCGCATGTGGTTCAGGAGCCGGGGGTCCACCTGCTGGAGTTCCTTGAAGTCCATTTTCACCAGGACAGTCAAATTGTACCAGAAACCCTCCGGGTTCCCCTGTGGAACTGCCCAAGGACACAGACTGACGGGTCATAGGCCGCCACTAGGGGTGGCTTGGACATTTCCCCTGCCTCTTATGTTATACACATAATCCTAACACACTCTACAATAGATTATTGTATATAATGGATACTAGATAAGACTGTACATAATACATGATATTTAACATATATCCTATAATACATATAGCAAAATAGCAGAATTAATGTATATTATATGTAACAATGTTATTAATTTAAACTATACTTATATAGTATATACTATACTAATACTATAATGAATTATAATATTTATTGCACATGACATATATTTATTATTTACACATATTCCCCTCACTCTGAACCTCCACCAACCCATTCTCCTAGAGGCAGGCCATGGTCAAGGGCAGAACTTCCCAGACCAGGCATGCATGCAGTGAGGGCTGGGCCATGGACCTGCCAAATGCTGTGAGAGTGATTTCAGCTCCCTGAGGTGCTTCACAGGCAGCCAGCTTTACCTCCTCCCACCATGACAGTTTAGCATCCAGCCAGCACCACCCAGAGCACCTAGGGATTCCCCAGGTAAACTTGGGAAATCCAGGTCCCTGCTCCCCTCCTCAGAGCACCTGTGAACACCTTCCCCTGAGATTTTGGTGGCCAATTTTGACAAACACATTGCCTAGGAGTGGAATGTGCTATGCTGGGCACACGGCTGCAGGCTCCTGGTAAAACCGGGGCTGCTGTTTCTGGAAACCCACTCCTCCCCAATCTTCACCCAGATCAGAGCCTGGGCCCCATCCCCTGCTCAGCTGCCTAACTGGAGACCTGCTTTTCTGAGCCCTCAGCCCTACCTCCAGGAGTGGGCACCACACAGCGGTGGCCTCCTGACGAGGGGCAGCACTTCTGAAGTCCGGGACAATCGGGGTCCAGGGTGCAGGGCAAGGTGGATGCTTCCAGCCCCACTGCAGGGCAGGCCCCAGGTCTTGAAGCAAACTCCCAGGACGGATTCAGGGCTGGGGAGAGATCGATTAGCAATTACTAATGTTAGCAACAGCATCCTTGAGCGCTGAGCAGGCACTCCTCTGAGGTGCTTCCTGGTGCTGGATTCCATCTGCAGTTCTTGGAGGACACAGTGTGGCCAGCTCAAGGGCCATATCCCGGGCTGGAAAGCACCTCACCACATCCTGCAGAGCAGCCATGGAGGGCTGTTGCTCTGACTTTAATGTAGTCTGACCATCTTTCCTAGAAGAAGGGCAGTTTCAGGTGGGGTTCTGGGTGTCCCCTCTCCTATAGGCCTTAGGAGACCATGTGCAGGGGCCCCACCACCCCATTAAAGGACTCCCTGGTGCTCTGGGTCCTGATGGCTCACTCATTCACTCCCTCACTCATTCATTCATATTTATTGAGCACCTGCTATGTGCCAGGCATGGTGCAAGATGCCCAGGACCCAGCAAGGTACCAGAGGCAAAGTCCCTGGCTTCAGGATACATAGATTCCAGTGAACAGAGGCCAAGGCCCAAGAAGACCTATAGAAGGTGAGATGGGAGGAGAGGCTCGGTGAGGAAAAAGCAGGGCCTGGGGCAGGTGGGCAGGGCAGGCTGTCCTGGAAAGGTGCCTCTGCAGAGGCTGGGGGAGCAGAGAGCACCCCTGCGGACTTCAGGAGTGCACAGGGCCCCCCAAAAGACAGGAGAAACCCAGCAGACCCTTGCTGTGCTGAGGTGAGGGCCCTGGGGGGCTGAGGCAGTCCAGGGGTGAAGGGAACACCACTGGTGCCCGCCTAGATCCTCCAAGTGCTCTGATTAGCTGTGTGGCCCCGTCTCTCGCGGCCTCAGGTGGCCATCGGGGCTGGAGCTGCCTCTCGCCGTGTGTAAAGCCCCAGGTGCCTGGGGTTTGACCAGCCACTGGCCTACTCTGCACCCAGTGTTGTTACACTCCTTCCTCTGTGCCTTCCCTTGCCCTGGGGGAAATGTGACACTGCGTGGCCATGCATGCCCTGGCTGCTGGGAGGGTGGGGGCACCCAGCTGAGAGCCACTGTGATGGTCCAGGTGACAGCTAGTGGTGGCAGGGCTGGGATGATGAGTGGTGGCAGCGAGAAGCCTCAGATCCTGGGCACCTTTAGTGAGGAGCACCCACAGGATGGCCTGACAGATGGGTGGGCTTGTAGAAGACAGAGAAGCTCCAAGAAGCCTCCAGGGCTTCGGGTGTAGGCGTCACCTGGCTCCAGTCCTGGGCTGGGGATACCTGCCAGAAGAACGGTCTCAGGTGGAGCCCAAGGTTGCCACACAGATGTGAGGCCTGGCATGCCTACTGGACATGCCCTTGGCGACGCGGCACACCCCCCACTGGGCAGTTCTGGGTGTCGGCTGAGGCCAACCACAGGGCTTGGGGCCGCACAACTCCAGGGGCCCCTGTGCACAGTGATTTCCGTGTGAGCCTGCCTCCCAACACAGCTCTGGGCCATCACTGCAGAAGTGCTGGCAGCCAGCGGCAATGAGGACACGTGGCCAGACATGGCTATAGTCACCATACGAGACCCAGGGCTCCGGCCTGAACCTCAGCCACAGCTACGGGGGCATGGGCTGGTTTTTGAAGAAAAGGGTGTTAGAGATCTGAGAAAGGGACAGACATATCTGAGAATCCGAGCCCTCCTGGGGGGGGGTTGGCTAGGAGTCCAGGTGCTGATATTTAGGGTGATAGAAAATCACAAAGAGGAAGGAGAGAGAACCTGAACCCAGGAGGCTGGCTGAGCCGCTCATGGACGCTCATGGTGCTCAGCAGACAGCCAGACATGGTGGAGGCTGCCTGGACCCTGCCTGGGGGACCCTGCAGGCAGCAGGGTGACCATCTGGAGAGCCTACATGTCGGCCTGCCCAGAGGTGGAGCCGGGCCAGGATGGAGGGGAGCCAGGAGCAAACCCAACCCCAAGCCTAAGGAGGCTGTGGAGGAGGTAGAGACCACAGGGATGCACCTGAGGGAGGGCCAGTGAGCCCGCGGCCTGCTGCCAGCTGCCCCGGAGGAGGCACCCTGCCCACCCACCCTGGGTGCTTTTCACGCCCATTCATTTAAAGCTCTGTGCCCCACAAGCTATTTAAAAGTGCAGTTCCAGGCCCCTCAAACTCCAGGAAAGCTGAACAAGACCATCTGACACCCACACTCTGGAAACACCCCCAGTAGGGAGGAAGATGAGAAAAAATGAAAGCATTAGAAAGAAAAGTGAGACTGAAGTAGAGCAGGGTTGGCGGGGCCAGGAGGGGGTCGGAGTCACAGTCACACTCCCGTGTTGGTTCCACAGTCGGGACAACGCACCACCCTGTTCTGGAGACTAGGTGAGGAAACTGGGAGCTCTCTCTACCAGCTTTGCAACTTGCCTGTAAATCTAAAACTATCCTGGATTAAGAGGTTTGTTTAAATTAAAGAAAATTAGGCACCAAGAAAAACTGGCTTCCAAAAATGGTTGCCTGAGCACAAGCATTTTTGAGTTCAAGTTTATCTTAATTTGGGTGCTGCCGGGAATCCCCCTCCGAACCTTGGGGTTGGCTGGCCGGCTTAGGAGAGCCCAAGAGAACAGTCACTGGTCCCAGCTTGGTAGAAAGTCGAAAATCTGCTTCTCTTTCCACTAACTCAACACAAACAATGGAGCAGGACTGCCCAGTGCCTGGCAACCTGAGGTTAGTCACGGTTGGACGAGACGCTGGGAAATTTGTCCAAGCCACGGCTCCGAAGCCTCCAGGGACTGAGCTCTCATCCGCCACCGCCTCCGTCCTCAGAGGCCCCCTTCCCCAGAGGGGCCTTGGTCCTCAGCCTGTGGGGCCGCAAAGTTTGGGGTGCCTCCGATCCAGTGAGGTGCTGGGCTTGCCCCATGACAGAGGGCTTGCCAGGATGACGGCCCACAGAGGAGACGGGCTTTGCGGAAAGCAGGGAGGTCAGTGCAGTTAGTGCACATCAGCTAAGATGCTCAGCCCAGCTCCTGGACTCATCCTGCATGAATAATCCAACAGTGCCCAGCAGTGTTTATACTGGGAGGTACTCATCCTGGTGTTATTTATAACATTGAAACACTGGCAATATCTAGCTGTGAAGCGGTAGGAAATGGCTTAACAGGTGCTCATACCTCCATGTGAGGTAACGCCGTGTGGCTGTTAAATCATGCTGCAAAATAGCATTCACTGGCACGGAAGATGTTCCCGGTTAATCATCAAGCGGTACAAGCATGCTGCAGACCTCCACCAGGCTGCCCATGCTTCTGTGGAATGTCTGCCCCGAATGAGCACAAGAAAACGCTACAGCGGCCGCTTCCACGCATCTCCCTTTGTTCTTTTCTGTTTGTTTCTGGGTTTTCTGTGCAGCTCCTGTGTTTGTTTTTGTAATTATATTAAAAATACATTTAAATAAAACAGTGTATGACTTGTTGGGGTCCACTGAGACAGTGGGAAAGTCATCTAGACTGAGAGGGATGTCAGAGGCGCTGTCCTAACTTCCCTTTCAGGATGATGGGTGGCTGGGAGTGAGGGCCGATGGCCCACAAGCTGGACTGCACAGAGGCCTGTGCCAAGGGAAGGCAGGAGGGGAGCCCTCCTGTGCTCCCCAACGTCTCAGGCTGTTCCCCGAGGCTTTGGCTCTGCCTCACTCTGTGCAGATCGCCCAGCATCTCAGGGTCACTTGTTGATCTCAAACTTCCCTTCTGAAGAGCCAGCCCATCACAAGGCACCTCCCAACAAGCTTTGATCAAACACTCAAGCTTTGATCTTGGGAGCCGAGCAACCCTGGATAAGGTGCACGGTCATACGCCAGCGGCGCCTGGGCATCCCCAGCAGGATAAGGCCACGCTCGGTGCCCTCCCACACCCGGCCCCTTCTCAAACACAGCAGACTGGATCTGATGGGTCTAGGAGACCCAGGCCCAGGTTTGTGCCATCTTGGTCAAGCTGCCTGCCCGCCACAGGTTGTGTCCCAGTCGGCAGAACAGGGGTGCACCTGTCTGTCAGTGACCAGGGCTCTCCCTTGGTGGCCTGTCACAAAGGACACACTTGGGAAGGCCCTCCCCCTCCTTCCTTGGGTCCTTCCTTGTTGCAGTGTGTCCCCCACCATGTCCCCACCCTCCCGACACCAGCCACGCCACTACTGGCAGTCCCCGGAGCAGCCTGACCCTGGCACTCTCTAACTAGAGTGTTGTGGTCCTGTCCCCACCCGGAGAGGTCCTAATGAAAGGTGCTAACACTCTAAAAGTGAGGCTGACATCCCCTAAGAGGCATTTCCTGGTGGCCGGTCTGTTGGAGGGAAGAAAGATGAGCAGCAGGTGTCTGGGAGGGCACACCCGCCCTCGCTGCCTTCTCTCCCATGGGAACTGGCTGCTCAGCAGCAGCCCCTACAGGAAGGCATGGGTGTGACTGGCATGGCTCTGGTCTCTGGGAGTGACTCCATGAGTCCCCACAACAGCCAGCAGGTAGGAAAATGTGACCTTCTGGGGGAAGATGGACAGGTCAGAGGGTCACCCACCTTCTACCCCCATGTCCTGACCCTCCTGCCCAGGCTATGTGCCCTGAGGCCTTCCCAAGAGTGGGGCTCAGGCTCTCCAAGAAGAGAGGTGCCCTCAGGACAGGGGCAGCAATTAATCTGGCTGCCCCTTTGTGCATGTGGCCCTTGGGGTCTGGGAAAGTGGAAGGGGGCTGGTGTCAGCACAGGAAGGACTCAGACCCAGCACCTGGGCAGGCCTGCTGGGGGGACAGCCTCTCCTGCCAGTGCCCTTTAGGAACAATGGGAATCCATAGCAGGCACCTGGGCTCAGCTGCGCCATCGGGTTTCTATCGGTGGTGGTGGCCTTGGCGACAGTAGTGTCGTCTTAGCACTCAACCCTGAGCCACCGGGCCATCTCTGTGCAGGACTACACCAGCCTCCCTGGTAACCACCCCAGACGTCTTCCAAACCACACAGAGGAAGTACAAAGACTTGGGGGCCCCTGGGACTGAGGGGGCCAAGTGGACCCCATCCATCTCTTTCACACATTGTTCAGAGTAAGATTTTGTTTGAAGAAAGCATTCCAGTACAGCTTTTAAAAAGAAAAGCTTGGCTGCCAATATGGAAGAGATTGCAACGTGGCTCTCAAAGTCAGCTGTGTGTTAGAAGCTCCAGGAGCTTTAAACAGTTCCCAGCGCAGCAGCTGTGCCCCAGACCAGCTGCCTCACCATCTCTGAGGGCAGGTCCCAGGTGGCGGCGTGTGGAAGGCTGCCCGGGGGCCTTCAGTGTGCAGTCAGGTATGAGAGCCCTGCCCCAGAACAGAGATTCTCAGAACAGGTCCCCCGGCCGGCAGCATCAGCTGGGAGCTTGCACCCCCCCTGACCCACTGGATTGCAATCTAAGGCTGGGGCCAGTGCACTGTGCTTGGAGACACCCCTGATGCTCACTCAGGGCTGAGAATCCGTGTTTGGGGCTGGTGGGTGTGAACATTGACCCCCCTGAGACCCATCAGGAGGCCCAGGGACAGGGTAGCGAGGAGCCCCCACCCTCCACCCACTCACGCAGGACGCAGTGGAGACCCAGCTGTTCACAGCCCTCACAGCACTTGGCCACATTCCTGGACTCAGAGACCTGCACCACCAGGTACTGGGTCCTGTAAACAGTCCTGGGGCAGCGTCTCCATGGGATGCAACCACAACAGGGTGCATAGGTCAGGTGGGACGTCCAGGTGGTCTCCACTTTCTGGACCGCTCGAGTCACGCTGTGGCCGCATAGCCGGTAGCTCAGCAAGGACAGGCCTTTGTCTACGAGTGGAGAGAGGTGGGGGGCCGGGCAGGGGAGAGACCAGACCAAATCCACAGAGCGGCTCTCCACAAGCCCTCCACTTCCACAAAAGCAAGGGAGGCAAGACCCCCAGCCCCGGAAGACCCCTCAGAATGGCCATCGTGCGCCATGAAGCAGGGCAAACACTGAGGAATGAAGTGTCAACAGAGGCCTGCGTGCCAAGAAGTCCCCCTGACTGCAGAGTGCAGACATGCCCAGGCCCCACCCTTGCCTCCTGAAGCCCGGAGGTCCGGCAGTGTGCAGAGGGGACACAGAAGGACCTGACATCTGCTGCTCGCGTCTGTTCTCTATTCTGTGCTGGCTGATTGCGCAGGCTGGAGGGTCCAGTGCGCACCTGCATCTGCTGAGCCCCCGGTGAAATGAGCACACACCAGTTCCCTCCATAAGTACACACTGAGTGCCCACTGCATGCCGAGCACCGATGGCACTGACACCCTTCAGTGACATGAAACGGAAGATAGACAAATATCTCAAGCAAATGCAAGAAACTCACAGATGGTGAAGTTCAGTCCACCTGTCACTGTCATCAGTGACATGATGAGATGAGGGCATGGCATACCCCTGTAGGACGACACTCGGCAGGCCTATGCAAGCCCTATGCATGCACTACCTTCTCCAGCACTGTGCCTCTCAGTCATGACCACTGCCCATCTGCCCAGAGCCCTCTGTTGCCCCGTGTCAGGGCCTGTTGTGGGCTAGATTAGGTCCCCTCCTGAGCCTCCCCAAATTCCTATGTTGAAGTCCTAGCCCCCAGTACCTTGGAATGTGACCTGTTCGGAGATGGGTTTTTGCAACAAAATTACAATGGGGTGACACTTATCTACTGGCTGCTGTCTTTATATAAAGGAATATTTGGACACAGAGACAGGTGTACAATCAGGCAGACACCATGTGAGAATGCAGGCAGAGATTGGGGAAATGAGTCTACAAGCCAAGGAACCCCAAAGATTCTCCCTCATAGCTCAGGAGGAACCAGCCCTGCTGACACCTTGATTGCAGACATCAGCCTCCAGACTGAGCCAATAAGTGTACTTAAGCCCCCAGCCCCTGGTTCTTTGTCAAGGAGCCCTTGGGAGCTAGCACTGGGCTGTGGGTGCCCCTCAGCAGCCGGCCAGGATGCACTGCACCCGTGGGCTCTCAGTACAGGGTGGACGAATGGTCTGCATACACTTCACATTGTCACATACGCAGCCTCTGAGCTCTAAGCTCTACGAGACTCCAGCCAGTGGGTAGGCAGTCAGTGTTAGAGTGTACAGCCCTCAGCATGAAGCTGGATTTCTGGGAAGGAACCTAGAGGGGGCAGAAGAGGTAACCTTCCCCCCGACACCAGGACAGCATGCTGGAGGCTCCCTGCTTTGGCCTCAGCACCCCACAAGTGTGCAAAACGCAAGATTCATGGGGCTGGGGTTCCCTAGGCAGAAACTACCCAGCTGCCAAGCCCAGGCTGATGGGAGGGGCAGTACCTCCCTCTGGTGCCGAGTCCCACCATCTAGACAGACCCCACTCATGGCAATGAGCCCAGACCGCCTCTCTGGGGGATGGCCACCTCCCAGTCACCCCAGCAGTGGCAGGGCCTCTGGGATGGAGACAGCCTCTGCCCACCTTCACACTGGGGTGGGTGGGTAATGGGAAGTTTTAGGCAGGAATGGGAGCCTATGCAGGATGGTGCAGGAGAAATCGGCTTCTGAGGCCAGGGCAGCTTGGCCCAGAGCTTAGATGTGACCTGGACGAGGGCCTGGAGAGGGTGGCCACAGAGAATGAGGTCAGTAGTTGAGCGACGGTGCTGGACAAGCAGAAGTGAAGGCTGCCTGCTCCGAGAACACAGCAGGTGGGCCCAGATTCTGTTTTCCATTTTAACCCAAGATAACTTGTGAAGCAGTAACGAAGGTAACACTTTCCTGTCTCTAGAGGGCCATTGGCTCCATCTATCAGGTCAAGGTCCCAGCTGATCATTAGCAGAGCACCCCTGCACACGCACACACACACACACACACATGAACCTCCTCTGAAATTGCACTTGCGATGTTTGTTTTTGTTTGTTTTTCATTCTACTGGAGGCCACCAGGACCCCTTCAAGCCAGGCTTTTGGCCAAGCCCAGAGTAGAAACCTTTTAGCAGACCCTGCCATTTCACCAATCCTTTCTAGAGCCACCAGCATGGTAACTGGGGGTCCTGGGTTCTTGTCCCAGAGGTGGGAAACCTTAGCGCCCTGCGTGGGCAGCAGTCTGGAGTCAGAAGACCCACATTTCACCAGCTTCACAACCCCCACCTCCTGTCCTCCGGGTGCCCCAGCCATGCCGGCTGTGCCCTCGGGCGGTAGGGGGATGAAGTGAATCAGGTCTGTAAAAGCAGCACCTGGCACATAAGAGCAAGTTGATGAGCAGCCCAGACACAGCCCCTGCTCTGCTCCTTGGCCCCACACGCACAGCAGGGGCTCGTGAGCCACCTCCTAAGACCACCTCTCGCTTTGCAATGTTCCCAGTCATTTTTTGACTGTGTGGCTTACATGTTACTCACTCCCTAGGAAAATCAAGTGAAAAAAAGTCACAAACCAAAACCCTGCCTATGGGTGAAAAAACTTGACACTAGTACAAAACTGAAGTTGATCGCAGGCACAGAATGGGTCTCTTTGAATTCCCAAGTGAATGAGACAGAGTTTAAGAAGAAAATGATTTAAAAGATTTGCAGTCTCAATTCTCTGAAATCTGGAGCTTCAGAAATGTAACGTGTTTTCAGCAGGAACTGCTTGCCTCAGAAAGGCTTTGGACAGATGCTGGCTCGGCCCCTCACTCCACTATCAGCCACTTTATCCTCATTTACCAAAGACAAAAGCAGGGCCAGCAGCAGCCGCAGTGGAGAGAAGCTGGAAGCGAGAACCCACTTCATGACCCTGCCTGCCTGGGAGGGGAAAGCACAGTCAATGGCTGGGGTCACCTGGTGCAAATTCTGCCTCCACTGGCTGTGTGGCCTTGGACGAGTCCCTGACCACTCTGAGTCCCCCCCCCACCATCTGCAGGTTGAGACCGTAATCCACCAAGGCTCGGGAGGCCACACCTCGGAGGCTCCAGGATTGCACTGTTCTCAATGGCCTGCAGACCTGCAGCAGAGGCACACACACCACCTCTCCTGTGGTTATTAGAAAGTTTAGCCAGAAAGAGCAGACACCGGCTCTCTAGGCAGGACGCTGTCCTCACCAGACCCTCTCCCGGGGAGCCCCTTCTCCTCCAGTGTCACCCGCACCCAGCCGGGACCCCTCACCTGTGAAGCCGCTGGCCTGGCTCGTGCCCACGGCACTGACCAGAGCCAGCAGGGCCAGCCCAAGGGTCCGGAGCATAGTCGGCCGGCAGCAGTGTGGCTCTGGGCCTCTCCGGAGTGTCAGCACAGAGCGGCCCAGGCCTCCTGGGCCCAGAAGAAGGGCCCTTCTGCTCCCGGTGCCAAGGACAGTGGCTGTGGCTGCAGAGGGCATGCCAGCAGGGAGCAGCCCCTTATGCCTGCTCGTTAACGCCTGCCGCTGCCACAGCAGGGTCCCTCGGGGCACCTGCATGTCACAGCCCATTCTCGCTCCAGGCAGATGGCATCTTTCAGGAAAGCTGAGTACCCAGCCATCAGACAGCATCGCTGCGTCCCATCTCGTGGTTGCTCAGAAAACACATTTCAGCCCCAAATCTGATTCCCTCCATCACCTGCAAAGTATTCTCTTACCTTATTGTTGGAAGCTGGCAGGAGAAAACAGCACCCAATCAAAGTGGTTCATCAGATTCAGAAAAGCATCCTTCACACAATGGGACAAAACAGATCAAAAGGCATAAAAATGTTGGTGCACTTAACCCAGTGACTTCCTCCTGAGGACTGTGGCCTGAGGGTCACAAGCTGCAGTCTCAGAAACGGTCATTACCAATCAGGGTCTAAACTGGAAAGGCATCAAAGCGAGCCACTGGGGGGCCTGGGAAAGCACTACAGGGCATCTGGCCATGACACCACACAGATGTTGACAGGCTTGCCGTGAAGACTTCCTGGAGCATGAAGACTGCTTCACAACATGGGGTCAGGCAGTGCCTCATATGAGACAACGAGCCTGCATGACATACAGAAGCGGGCACAACCCAGAAAGGGCCGAGGAATAAAGGGAAACACTGGGGACGAACTGGGTGGCAGTTACCTGTGCTTTATTTCAGCAGCATCACATTGTATGTGAAAAGGATTTTTAAATTTCGCTCCAGATACTTCCTAGGTGACGCTGCCTTCTCTTTCCTTGGTTGGGGTGCCTTCCAGGGCTTGCTACAGAAAGCTGAAGCACAATTTTAACACTGGGTGATGATCTTACTAGTCCTACCAAGAAAACTCTCAAGTAACAAAGATCCATCTTGACAGAAGGGTCCAGAAGTAGAATTCCCTTGTGTTCAAAATACAAAACAGTTCTTCCAGAAGGGACCTTCCAGCCTGACTCCCGCATCAACGTTGCTACATCTTTGATTCCCAGGAGATTAAACTCTAAGAGGACTAACTGCTGCATTTGGTGGTTAATGAGTAAACAACAGATGCCAGGACAAGAGTACATAAAAGGAGCTGGAAATGATCCCACAGTTAAGGGGCGACTGCAGGAGTTTCCCTGAAGACAACACCCTTTACAGGAAACCAGGAGCGCAGGACTGACGTATAAACTGTGCTGGAAGGGAGGTTAAAAAAAAAAAGAGTCTCAATAGGAAAAGAATACATTTTAAAGCCATGACATAATATTCAAGAAAATAAAATTTAATTAGCACTAAGAAAAAATAGAGAAAGTATTATAATTTAGGTAAATCTGAACATCTAAAAATGTAAGATGAATCCATTATGTCATCTCTTATAATTTTGGTTACTTTAATGTATGAAAGTTTCCATAAAATATGAAGATGGATTCAAAGGTAATGTTACATTTTAAAACTAGAAATTGGCCCTGGGCCCCACTTTTCTGTCATCTTCAGAATCATCCTGTGCAGTAAGTCCCTGACCCCCATCGTACAGATAAAGGTACTGAGTGGGAGATTCGGCCCCAAAGCCCAGGTTCTTCAAACCTCACTCTCCCACTGTCCCATCACTGTGGTAACCAGAACATCAAGCAAAGGCAAGACTTTATATCAGCTGGGCACTTTATGCTGATTTGGGATTGTCCATGAAACATTGTCGTAATATACTTTCTTTCTATAATAAAACTCGTATGACTTTTAAAACCCTCAAAACTGACTATCTGTTTCTAGCTTGGCTCTCCCTCAAACCTCTTCTCACACAGGCATAAAAGGAGAATCACACGTTGTTTTTAATTTAATCCACAGTAAGTCATTCCCTCCACTTATTATTTATGCATATTTCTCTGCATGATGGCCACAGGGATTTTCCACACTTGCCTTTTCCATGTAAACACATTGAGGAGAAAATAGCCTGTAACCTGGCAGGGAGAGGGACATGCCTCCCAAATGTCGTGTCCATCACTTCCAGGGGGTAGGGGCCTCAGGTCCATCCTGCAGAGAGCCCCAGGGTCACTCTTCCCAGGCAGTGCCTCCATGCAGAAAATCCAGCACTTACCTGGCATGGTGTCCAAGAACGAAGGGATCTAGGAGAAGCAGCTGGGACAAAAAGCTAGATTTAAGGCTATGCATGCACACACTCATGTATGCATGTAGGCACATTCACACTCATTCTTGTGTGTGCACAGACATGCATGTGTGCTTACGCCTGCTTGCACGCTTACCATGCAAGCTTGGGTGCTCACACATGCATGTGCACAAGCAGACACATGCCTGTACGCTCACCCTGTCCCGGGCCTTGGTCCTGTCCTGGGCCCTGTCCCCAGTGTTTCTGTGGGTGTGGACTATGCTTTTAGTGGTGGCACCTGAGCTGGACCCAGCCTCCTCTCTCCACCCACAGGCGGAGGTTCAGTAAGCTGACCTCTCAAGGGCCTTTCTCATCTCAGGTTCTGAGTTATGTGGTCCTATGAACACAGATTCAACAGACTCCACTACAAAATCATGTCTGGCATTACCAGGCCAGACAGGATGTACCCCAATCCTGGACATGGCAATCATGTCCCGAGGGACACATGTGCACAGCTGCTGTGGGGCTCGGTGCAGTGGCCCAGCGTGGAGATGGCATGTGTGGTATCGCTCACTGCGCACAGCCTCTTCCTGGAACCCTGATCAGTGCACAGGCAAAGCCATCTGGCAGGTGGAGGGGCCAGGAGGGGCCTCTCAGGGCCTCAGGTTGCAGGACAGGAGGACAGCACAGGAAGAGGAGAGGTGGTGGAAACACATCAGAGGGCTGTCCTGGGGGAGTGGGGACCCGCAGTGAGACCTCCACCCAGTGTTCCAGCTTTGGGGGTTCTCGGGGACTGGGGTCTCTGGCATGGGGTCTGATGAGGGGATGGGGAAGTGCCTTGGGTTTTTGGGGCCTCTGGGTGGGGCTATTTCCAGGGAACACGGCTGTGGTAGAGGCTGGAAGGAAGGGCTAGAGAGGAGCTTCACGCAGCTGTCAAGGGCACACACCCTTGGTCAGTGTGGTGAGGACCACTCATGTCGGAACCACTGGGGAGGGGTCCCTGCAAATGCAGGCTGTTGGGGTGGGATTTCCACAAAATCCTTCTAAATGCCGAGCCCAGAGTCCTGAGGAAGCAGCCCATCCTGGGGGTGGACAACTCCCCCAGAAGACTCCTCCTCACAGTGAACTGAGGCTGACTGTGCCGCTGGGCCCGCCACACCTGGGCAGTCCTCCAGCTAGGCAGCGAGCCCCCATCCCACTTCCACGTGACAGCCTTCAGACCCCTGGAGCTCCCCGGGCTCCACCATGCCCACCTCTCCTCACAGCCTGTCTCTCTCTCTCACATACACACTTTTTATCTTTGTGTTTTTTCTTTCTAGGTTTAGCTTTCCAAATCCTCAACGTTATAAAATCACAGAGCAGATGATTTTTTTCCACCCCTTTTTCACATTCCATGTTGGAAACCATTGCCCTCTGAATGGGATTGGATGGGAAGAGGGTTCATGGTCTCCAGGCCCCAGGGAGCCTGCTGGACACCCTGCTTCCTAGAGCTCGAGCCAGAGCAGGTAGGACAGTGAGCAGAGGTAAGACCTTCATGCACAGGGGCCCTGGAGGCACACCTGCGACCACACATGGCAGGCTGCTGGGTGGGGCTTGGGGCTACAGGGCCCAGGCCCCCACCAGGGGAAGGCAGCTGCCCAACTGTCCCTGTCTGCATCTCAGTTTTCCCATCTGCAGAGTGGGAATAACTGTGAGTCCGAATTTAGTAGTGTGCTAATGCCTCCAGATTTTGCAAGAACCAAATAAAACAATGTATGGAGAGCCTCCTAGAGCCATAGACATCCATCATCCGCTGTCATTGACTGTGGAAAAGGTATTACTAGGAAATTTCATTAGAAACAAAATCTCCCACCCCAGAAAACCTCTGCACAAAGATAGAGGAGAAAGAAAACACCCTTATTATTGAATGAGCATTAAAGCAGAATGAGATACATGCCACAGGCCATCTGCTAAGTAATTACAGAGCAAGAAATCCCCTTTTCTATAGCCAAGTAGACAGCTCAATGCACACTGATCCTCAGTAACTGATACCTAGTCCCCTAGTAAGGGGACTTGCTGGCAGTGCTGGTCCCATGTAGTGCACCATGAACTCATGCTGTAACTGGGGTGGCCATCTGGGTTAGCTAACTGGCTTTATCCAGAGGAAAAATAGACTCCTCACATTTACGGCCGGAGGAAGTTTAGCAAATTAGAGCAAGGCACCCGGCAACATCGGCCTGCCATCCTTCCACAGAAGCTGGGAGATGGGGGGACCGTCTCCCTCTGTGTTCGCATCGCAAAGGAGTGCTCCCAGGGCCTGGAGTAAGGGATGCTCGGGTCATAAAGCCGACAAAATGCCAATCTAGTCTTCAAAGGGGTTTATACATATTTCAAAAAGAGGAGACCTTACTTAAAAGTTTTCCTTTCCTTTTTTACATAGGATATTGATTTCAGCTTTTTTGTTTGCCATTGTAAAATTAGCAATTAAATGATGAAAAATAGCACTTAAATTATGCATGTCCTATACAAAGGTGAATCAAGTGATAAAATTACATTTTCAAAGAATTTTTAAAGTGTTTGCATATTTCTTTTCTTAACTGACATAAAATTGGTATATAACATTATATTAGCTTCAGGTGTACAACATAATAATTTGGTGTTTGTATATACTACAAAGTGATCACTACACTAAGTCTAGTTACCATTTGTCACTGTGCAGTTGACCCTTTCACCCACTTTGCCCACCGGCCTAGTTCCCTTCCCCTCTGGTACACACCCATCTGTTCTCTTTATCTGTAAGTTTTGTTTTGTTTATTCATTTGTTTTGTTATTTAGATATTGTCCACATGTAAGTGAAATCACACAGTATTTGTCTTTCTCCACTTATGTCACTTAGCATAATGCTCTCAAGGTCCTTCATGTTGTCACAAATGGCAGGGTCTCATTCTTTTCTATTGCTGAGTAACATTCCATTGTACACATGTGCCCCATCTTCTTTATCCATTCTTCTGTCAATGGACACTTAAGTTGTTTCCATTTTTTGCTATGGTGAGTAATGTGGCAGTAAACATAAGGGTGCATATTTCTTTTCAAATCAGTGTTTTTCATATTCTTTGAAAAAATACAGAAAAGTGGGATTGCTGGAATGTATGGGAGCTCTAGCCTTAATTCCTTCTAAGGAACCTCCATCCTGCTCTCATGGTGGCTGCACCAGTTTACATTCCCACCAACAGTGCCCAAGGGTTCCCTTTTCTCCACCTCCTGGCCACCACTCGTTATCTATTGTCTTTTTTATACTAGCCATTCTGACCCGTGTGAGATTTGCTTTTCCTGATGATGATTAGTGATGTCGAGCACCTTTTCACATGCCTGTTGGCATCTGTACGTCTTCTTTGGGAAAATGTCTACTCTGGTCCTCTGCCCATTTTTTAATTACAAGTCTTCTAATGTACACACTCAAAGAAAAAGGAGAGGAAGGAAATATCTTCCCTTCTTTTCCACAGAGAGAACTACACCTCTTGTTTTTCCTTTGCATCTGTCCTTGCATATGAAAAGCATGAAGTAGTCTGCAGGGGGATTTGGGCAAATACCAGGTAAGATAGACAGGATGCCTTCCTTCCAAGACCCCTTCCAACTCTGGGCTTCTGAGCATTATGGGTGCGTTTAGGATCTATTAAAAAGAGTACAGGTACCATGATCAGAAATGACATCAGTCATAATAAATAATGTTGTTGATAAAGAATTAATTGTTCTCATAGAGAGGCTAATGCAAGTACAGAAACAAAAACACACCCAGATAAGTGTCCTAGAAGCTGGCAGCAGGGGGTTGGCATGGCCTAGCAAAGGGCAGTTCGCTGGGACTGGACGGCCCGTCTTCATGGGTAGGGCTGTTCGCAGTCATCTGGGCTCCTGGCTCTTGACTCCTCGTAGCGGGAAGGAGAAAAGCTCGGCCTCCATCAGTGCTCATGTATCATGCTCAGGACAGTGGAGACACAGCACTTCTGGGACCACCAGGACTGTTCTTTAATGGATATTATCACATGGATATGAAAGAATGAAGCAAGATCAATATTATCTGAACTAAATCACATTCATAACAAG